ATTCCATTTAGAATAGTGTCCAAAAACATTTTATGCCTAGGATCCTATTTAACAAAAGATGTGAACAACTTTTAGACTTTTATGTTGAGAACTATAACTCACTATTGAAAGAAATAAGACAGTAGGAAATGGGAAAATATTTGATGTCCTTGGAAGAATTCGCATTATCAAAACGACCATCCTGGGGCTGGAGCAATAGTACAGTGGGTAGGGCATCTGCCTTGCATGCAACTGACCTGGGTTCAATTTCCAGCATCCCATGTGGTCCCCTGAGCACTAATTCCTGAGTGCAGAGCCAGGAGTAGCCCCTGAGCATTTCCGGGTGTGAACCAAAATGCAAAAAAAAAAAAAAATCATCATCCTATTCAAAAATAATTTCAATCAAAATTCCAGTGACATTTTCTAAGAACTAGAAAAATTTACCAAAATTCTGTGAAATCATAGAATTCTCTGAATAGACAAAGAAATCTTTTTATAAGCATGCTATACTATGCTTCCATAAAATTTTATTTTAGACACCAAAATTTAAATTTTAAATCATTTCTTATGTCACAAAATATCATTCTTGGGCCAGAGAGATATTACAGCAGAGATAAGTTCAGTCCTTGGCACCACCTCGTCCTCCAAGCACTGCCAGGAGTGACCACAGGCACTAAGCTGGGGGTTGCCCCCAAACCAAAATCAGTTAATTAATGAGTTTACGATGTGTTCATCTCATTGTAGCTCCTCCAGCAATAGTTCAATGCTTTTCCAGTATAACATTTTTCACACTTTATTTTGCTTTTTTTGTTGCTATTGTTGTTATTTAGATGTGTCTCTTGTGAGACGCATGTCGAAGGATATATTAAAAATTCAATTTGAAAATTTTTTACTCTTAACTGGAAGTCTCTGACTATTTATTATAGTACAAATTTTTAAAAAATGTCTATTTTGGCCAGGAGTTATCCCTGAGTTCAGAGACAGGAGTAAGCCCTGAATCCTGCTCTGACAGTGGCCCCCAAAACAAAAAAGAACACAATTTTTATTTTGTGCTTATTTTTGAAAAATAATTTGAAATATAATTCTGGCTATGGAATTCTAGATTGATAGTTATTTTATCTTAGTATGTTGACAATAATCCTCTATATTCTTCTTGCTATTGAAAAGTCGATTGTTTAAATGCTGTTGTGCCTTTGAAGATAATCTAACTGCATTTAAATAGTTTCTTTTGTTTTAGTTTTAATACTAATTAGGTGTGGTTTTTTTCTTTATACAAATAATAAATTATTAAACATTGAACTTCTTTTTTTTCCTTTTTTTCTTTTTTGCGTCACACCCGGCAATGCTCAGGGGTTACTCCTGGCTTTGCACTCAGGAATCACTCCTGGCAGTGCTCAGGGAATCGAATGCGATGCTGGGAATCGAAACCGGGTCTGCTGCCTGCAAGACAAATGCCCTACCCGCTGTGCTATCAATCCAGCCCCAAACATTGAACTTCTTGAATCAGCAGATTAGTATTACTCTTTGATTCTGGAAAATTCTCAATAATTATATCTTTAAATATTGTCCCTGATTTCTTTCTCTTTTTCTAGAATTTCAATTAAATATACCTTAAAGGTTTTCATCTACCTTTTATTACTTCTCCTTAACTCTCAGATCTTCTATTCGTAATAATTTCTACAGTGTGTATTTATTAAGGGGCCTCATTTTATGCTTCCTTCTGGGAGGAGCAGCCCTGGGTATTGGAGGGTGACCGATGAGGAGCCCTCCCAGCCCCAAGGCAGCAGACCTGCACTACCCAACCGCGGCCATGCTCCAGGCCGCATTCCACACGCTCGGGCCGAGCCTTACATATGAGTGAACATATTCCTGGACACATTATAAAACACTCCCTACCCATTTTCCATAATTACCACACCATATTTTATAGGTAACAAATCCTAGAGGAAATTATATATATATTATATATATAATATGTGTATATATATATAAATGTATATATATAATTGAAAATCCCAGCAAGCTACTGAGAGTATTCTGCTCTCAGAGCAGAGCCTGGCAAGCTCCCTGTGGTGTATTTGATATGCCAAACAGTAACAATAACAGGTATCATTCCCCTGACCCTGAAAGAGCCTCCAATCATTGGGAAAGACCATTAAGGAGAGGCTGCTAAAATCCCAGCGCTGGGACGAATGGAGATGTTACTGTCTTCCGCTCAAGTAAATCGATGGACAACGGGATGACAGTGATACAGTGATACAATATTTACTAAAGGGCCATGGCACTCTATCTCTCTCCTCCCCCATGTTCCATGGTCTTGGGTCGCTTCCCTCACCCAGAGAGGCCGATGGTGATGGGAGACGATGGAAGGACAGAGGACCAGGCTGGTTGGTGTCAATTGCAGTTTATTCCATTCCCATCTCCATTCTTTTCTGATTCTCCTCCTGATTCTTCCTCCCCTGTGCTACTACATCCTCTTTCTAGCTCCTACTTCATTCACCTTCTGGCTCCCCTAGCCCACTCTTACAGTCTTCGTTAAATCCCAAAGCATGAGGAGTTGGGGCTTACACATAGGTGTGGTCACAGTCAGCAGAGGTAAAGTCCTTCCCACAGGTGTAACTTCTTCTAGGACAGATTCTCATCCAGCAAGATGGCTCTCCCAAGACTGAAATTCCAGCTATGGGTGTGTTTCTCCTCACCTTAGTCCAACAAACATATTAACATTCATAATATTAATCATTTTGTATGGCCATAGTAAAAGATACATTAGGCTTATAGGATTGGTCTCCTTGGGTCATCTCACTATAGATCTTAGACTACAGTGCTCAGGCCACATTAGTCTTTCCTAACCCTAGCAGGGTCCTAATCTCGTTGTTACTTTTTGGATCATGACAGCATTTGTTCATGACCATGCTCTTAACTTATAGTTGAGTATTGTGGTACTTCGGCCTGGCCCATTTCGATACCAGGGTAGCTCACAGCTTGCCCTGGGTTCATTCAGTCCCTTGTCAGGACCCTGCTTTGGGGGTACTAGGAACTAAGGGCAACTGAGGTTTAAGTCACGGAAGCAGATGTCCTGGAGTAAATATTATTCAGAGTCAATTAACTTCCAAGTTACAAAAGCATAATATTAACTGTCTTCCTGTACACTGCAGCAATGTCCTCCTGTTGTTCATTGATTTGCTGGAGCAGGCCCAATAACATCTCCATTGTGAGACTTGTTGTTACTGTGTTTGGCATATCGAATACGTCAAGGGGAGCTTGCCAGGCTTTGCCGTGCAGGGGAGATACTCACAGTAACTTGCCGGGCTCTCTACGAGGGTCGGAGGAACCAAACCTGGGTCGGCCGGGTCGGCCGTGTGCAAGTCAAATGCCATGCCACTGTGGTATCACTCCAGCCCAACTATCTTCCTGTGTCTACACAAAAAGGACATTTCTTTAAAGTAAACTATGCAAAAGACATAAGGAAAGGAGAAAGGCAATATTTCATTTATAAATATAAAATCATAGATTTCTGCGGAATTTGAGCTTACAAGTTAACAGAATCTGATTAGGGGGAAAAGGTGATAGACCTGTTGGGGAAGAGAGCACGGAGAAGTTTACAGATAAACACGGTGGAATGGAAGTGCTTCAGGAGCACTGTGATAAAGCTAAGCTCCCTGTGGCAAGGGAAACAGGACATCCCAATGTTATCCTGAAATGCTTAGAGCTACATTCCAATAAACACAGAGGAATGGAGGTGCTTCAAGAGCACTGTGATGGGTATATTTATCACCTGAAAAACCTAAAATCTTTGTGGCAGAGGAGAAAGCATAAACCAATGTTACCCTATACTATAGGTCAGCCTTTCATTTAATAAGTTGAATATATAAACAGTTCCAAATGAAATCTTAGGGCAAACTTGATCCATTTACTAAAGACTCCCCATCACCTTTTTTAGCTAAGTCTTATCTTAAACCAAGATCAGTGCCTGGATTATGCATTCTAACTCTGAAGAATCTTTATGGAGTGAACAATTTGTTTACAATATAAAGTCATTGATTATAATTTGTTTCTGGGTCTGAGTTTGCCTCATCATTGAGGCTTGATAACTCTGGGAAACCTCATCTAGAAATTACTCTGTTATTCATACAAATGGAACAAATCTACTCTGTTAGAGGAATTGAGATATTTATCAGAGTTTCACAAGAAACGAACTTCATGTCTCAGCTTCAGTTCTGCTTCCTGTTTCAAATGGATGGTGGTGGGATGGACTAGTGAAGGGGTATGTATCAGATGACTATCAATGTAATCATCAAACTATAGAAACCCTCTCCTCTTATGAGAGATCAAGATATGACTGCTTGATAAAGTTATCCAGACCTGGAACTGAAGAAAGATGCTTCCTATCTACGGCTTTCAAAAAATCATGAGAATAAATAAGTAAACATCTAATAAAATTCTAGAGTCACATGGGTTAAAAAAAAGGAGTCTGGAAATTTGGCTAACATACAGGAGAAAAGGTATTAACCGAGAGAGAGTACAGAACTCCAAATATGGAATTCAAGATATATATATGTAAGATTTTGAAATGTACAAAATTAACCAGACTAGATATTTTGCAATAGGCAAGTGAACTGTATATGCAAGAGTTTCCAGTGCCAACAATAATATGTACACATTACCTGGTGTTTATACAAACACATTACCTGGTGTTTCTTTTCCTTCATAATAATGTAGTTGGTGCTGAAAATGCTTACTTTGCATATGGGAACCCCAAGTTGGATCCCTGGCACCATATCCTCCATTGAGTATTGTTGGGAGTGACCCCCAGGCATTGAAATGGAAGCAGCTCCCAACCACTGCTGAGGTGTAGCAGCAAAATCAAACCAAGTAAAACAAGTAATGGAGTTGATGAACATTACTTAGAATTTCTGCACTGGTGTCTGAAGTAGCTTGCTCTGTGTCAAAATTTAATGAACAATTTGTACAATCAATATTACAATTATATGTTTTGCTTGATTTTATTTGAGCTTTCACAGGAAAAAGTCACAAAAACCAGTCAATATTGACACATAAGAGTGACATTCAGGAACATCCACCAGAAATGTTTCAAACAGTAACACCTCTGGAGCTTCATGTAGGAACCTGGTACACAACCACACCTGGAGGAAATCGGATTGCCACCAAAGGATTAGAAAGATTGTCAGATTTGACACCATATTTATCCTTTCAGGCCACTGACCCTACCAATGGAATGGTAAGACAAATCAGTATATAGAGCAATATTTTATAAATCATTAGTTTTAAATAACACATGGGAAATTGCTGAATAGTGGATGAATAAGGTCAGAGGAAGGGGGTGGGAGGGATAGGTGAATGGATGGATGATTGGATGGATGGATGAATGGATGGATGATTGAATGGATGGATGAATGGATGTGAGGTTCTCACTCATGATTAGTAATATAGCACTGTCTTCCCTTTGTTCATCAATTTTGCTCGAGCGGGCCCAGTAACGTCTCCATTGTGAAACTGTTGTTACTGTTTTTGGCATATCGAATACATCATGGGGAGTTTGCCAGGCTTTGCCTTGCGGGCAGGATACTTTCTCCGAGAGGGGTGGAGGAATCGAACCCTGGTCGGCCATGTGCAAGGCAAACGCCCTACCTTCTGTGCTACCGCTTCAGCCCAATTAAAAACATTAGTTTACATAAAATAAGAAGCAATAATTTCCATTGATCTACATGTTTTTCAAAAAAAAATTAGCATTCCCATCCCCCAAATTACCTGCTAGGGGTATATAAAATTATACAAAATAAAGGACAAAACTTCACACTTACTAATAAAATCAGAAACACTAAGGTATTCACACAGCAAGTAGAAAGCAGTGCCCAGGGAAGAAGCTGGCCGCCCTCCCCACTCAGGATGCTCCCTGATTCAGAGTAGTAATTGCACAGCGAAAATTTTTTTTCAGATTTCTTTTGATAGGTTGTTAGTAAAAACCATGCCACTGTGTTCTTTACATGTGTAAGTTTTTAGTAGAATCATGACTCAAAAATGTTGAAAACTGGCTATATGCATAGACCAAAAAAAAAAAAGGCACTGTATCTGCAGAGCAATATTTCTAACACATTTTAATGAGAGAAACATGAGGACATTTGTCAAACTACAAATTCACTCATGATTATGTGGCAAAAATGAAAAGCACATCAGTTCTGAAGTCAGTCAGCCATGCTCCAGCATTCACCTTGGCACTTACTGAGGGCTGAACTTTTACAAAGACTATTTTCTGATCTATAAAAAGGAGACATTATTGCCTGTCTCCCCCTATTAGAGTAAAGTTTTGATTAAAAAATGCAACAAAACCTTTTCTTATACATAAATGGAATTTTGATAGTGTTCAGTTGAACTTACAAATAAGTGCACTTCTGGGCAGGAGCAATAGTATAGCAGTAGGGACGACCTGGATCCAAACCCTGGCATCCAATATGGTCCCCCGAACACCATCAGGAGTAATTTCTGAGTGCAGAGCCAACAATAACTCCTGAGAATCTCTGGTTGTGACCCCCCAATAAAAGCAAAACAAAACAAAATAAAACAAATAAGGGCACTTTAAGTGCACTTGGGATTAACCACCTGACCAACTGGTATTTCTCCACCTTTGTATGTTCAGGTTATGACAACTCGAGAAGATAAAGTGATCATTGTTGAAAAAAAAGATGGTACTCGCATAGTGGATCATGCTGATGGCACCAGAATCACGACCTTTTATCAAGTTTATGAAGAAAAGATTGTTTCCTCAGATGGCCAAGAAACAAGTACATTTTATTGTCTAAATAGTTGATGATACTTTATATCTTTAGAATAAGATATAGGAACCTCACTGATATTTAAATATATGCACATAAAAATTATTTTTTATAAAGAGTTTAGTCATACATGGGTAGTTCAAAGATAGTTGGGTAGTTCAAAGCAGGGCCTTGGGTGAGGGGTTCATAGCCTTTTGGGAGGACTGATGATGTGAAAATTATGCCACACCTGTCGGTGCTCAGGGTTTTCTCCTAGTGTGCTCAAGGATCACTCCTGGTGATGCTAACGGGCCTATAAGTGGTTCTGGGAATTGAGCCAGGGGAAGTTGCATACAAGGAAAGTGCCTTAACTCCTGTACTATCTCTCAACCCTGGAGCTTTTTTTAAATTTTAAACTGTCACCGGGGCATCTCGCACATTAGAGCTGTCAAGATTGCCTGGGCACTTGCTGTGGTTCCTGGGAATTAAGTTCATGGTCTAGTGTTTTCCTGGGACACTGATACATTCTCCAGGTTCCCAATGGAGCCCTTTTCCTTTTCCACTGTTAAAAAAAGGCAATACTGGGGACTGGAGTGATAGCATAGCAGGTAGGGAGTTTGCGTTGCATGTGGCCGACCCGGGTTTGATTCCCAGAATCCCATGTGGTCCCCCAAGCACCGACAGGAGTGATTCCTGAGTGCATGAGCCAGGAGTAACTCCTGAACATCGCCAGGTGTGACCCAAAAAGCAAAAAAAAAAAAGGTAATACTTCCTTTTCCATCTTCACCATTACAAACACCATTACAAACACCATTACAAACACCATTACAAACACAATCCACATTGTGTGGATTGGCAGCAAGTAAAAGTTAATAATCAAATTTCAGTGGTTCTGGACATTAGACCTGTTGTCTTTGATCTTTAAGGAATCTAATTTACATAAGGTCATCACCTCATTGGGTCATTAAATTTTTTTCTGTCGTTTAATGTTTGGTTGGTTTTGTTGCTTTCAGTTTTATTTATTTATATTAAGGAACCATGATTTATAAAGTTATTCATGATTGAGTTTCAGGCATGCAATGACCCATCACCAATTCCTTCACTAGTATCTTATTATGACATCTTAGTATCTCATTCCTACTTTGGACAAACTGGCAGGCTACCAAATGTAGCCTGCCCACACTGCAGAGTCTGGCAAACTCCCCGTGGCGTACCCAATATGCCAAATACCAGTAACAATGATGGGTCTCATTCTCCTAAAGAGCCTTGAATATAATCTCAGGGCTAGGATGAAGGAGATGTTACTGGGGCCTGCCCGAGGCAATCCACGAATAACAGGATGATTTGTGATTTGTGATTTGTGAAGGAACCATGATTTATAAAGTTATTCATGATTGAGTTTCAGGCATGTAATGACCAGTTCCTTCACTAGTATCAACCTCTCTCCATCAGTGTCCCCAGTTTTCTTTCCAACCCCTTCCCTTCATTGTGGTCCATATCCTACTGCAGACCAAGTGTCAGTTTCTGTTGCCTGTAGGCATTTGTAATTCCTCTAGTTTGTTTCTTTACATCACAAATAGGAAGAAGATTATTCCGTGCCTGTCCCTCTCCCTCTTCACTCAGCACCAAACTCTCCAAATCCATCCATGCAGAGGCAAATTGCATGGTTGCACCTTTTCTTAACAGCCAAGTTGTATTTTATTGAGTATATATGTGACCCATAGTTCCCTCCGGTCACCTGATCCTAGACACTGGGTTGTCTGCAGAGTTCAGCTCATGAGAATAGTGCTGCAATGAACATAGGCGTGCAAACATCTTTTCTTGAAGATGTTTTTGGGGTCCTGAGTATAGATACCAAGAAGTAGAATTGTTAGGTCATGTGGAAGTTCAATTTCTGTTTTTTTGAAGAAATGCCCTTATTGTTTCCCCAAAAGATTAGTTGACATTCCCACCAGCAATGAATGAGGGTCCCTTTCGCCACATCCACATCAGCACTGGTTGGTGGTGTTTTTTCTGATGTGGGCCAATCTCTGTGGTGTGAAGTGATAGTTCATTGTTGTCTTGATGTGCTGATGATGATTAGTGGTGCAAAGCATTTTTCTATATGCCTTTGGAAGTTTGCTAGTCTTTTTCTGGGAAGTTTCAGCTCTCTTTCCTCCGCTTTTTTTAATGGAATTTTTTTGTAAATTACTACCAACACTTTGGATATTAACCCTTTATCAGATGAGTGATGGACAAGGTCCTTTAATTCTGAGTCCTTTAATTCATTGTGAGAAAGACGATGTGAGACAAATACAAGCTGTAGTTGGTAATTGGCAGAATCTCTTTAAAGTACATAAAAGCTTATCACTCTCCTATAAAACAAGTTTTTTTAGAGAAAAAGTATTCCCTGACTCCCCACCCCAACCACCTCATTTTACCCTCAGAGTGTGTTTGATGTATTAAATGCTTCATTATCAAATTAAATATAATACAGTTAACAAGTGAGTGGGAAAGAGGGAACTTTTCTATTTCAATCATTAAAATGAAAATTAAAAGATCCAGTTGAGAAGGTGCATTTTAAATTTCTTCTAAATCAATGGGGCCTGGGGCTGGAGCAATAGCACAGCGGGTAGGGCGTTTGCCTTACACATGGCTGACCCGGGTTCGATTCCCAGCATCCCATATGGTCCCCCGAGCACCGTCAGGAGTGATTCCTGAGTTCATGAACCAGGAGTAACTCCTGTGCATCGCTGGGTGTGACCCAAAATAAATAAATACATAAATAAATAAATAAATGGAGCCAGTGCCACAGTACAGCGGGTAGGGTGCTTGCTTTGCATGGGGCCAATGCAGGTTTGTTTCTCATCCTATATGGTCCCCAGCCGTGTCTGAGTTCAGGGCCAGGAGTAAGCCCTATGCATCACTGGTGTGGCTCTCCACCTACTCACCCCCAAATCAATTTATACTAAGTTGAGACTCTCATAGTATATGATGCATTAATGAGCAGTAGTTAGAGAGAGATGGGGGGTCCTTACACCTTTGCACAAGAGTATAGAGGCAGGTGTTCTATTCACTCTAGATTACCACATTGAAAGACATAAATGTGCATTGTATTTATGTTAGAAAAATTAAATGTGATATATTTTATAAACTGTACATTGCATTCTTAAAAATTGAGATGCACAAATATACACTCCACACAGTGTATATATTCAGGTGGCTGAGGGTTTCAAAAGAGGTACTAAATGGTACATTGCAGGACCTATAACCTATACAAAGTTAAAGTGCACAAAATGCTACATATTGTTTTCAGTACCTCTGTTTAAATAAAAGCATAAAAATTTATTGTGTGAGAGATGAAAATGAACTTTAATATTATCTAATACTTATATTTATCTTTAAAATATTGATGTACATATGGTAGAATATTGACCAGTGTAAATTTTAATAGGTGAAGGTTAGAGTGCTTAAATTGTTACTTGTAATGTTCTGGATGCTTCTCGAACCAATAAGTAATGACAACAATATAAGAAGTAAGAGGATCTAGTCTGGAAAAGTTATTCAGAGTTGGCAGGAGAGGAGTCCACTCTAAATCCGCATAGGGTTTGACTTCTATTTCAGCAGACAATGAGATAAACTCAGCATTCTGAGGCGTCTTTCTACCTTTCCCAGTGTGTGTGTCCTAGCAGATCTACTTACTTGCATTTTCTTGCAGTAGGAAGTTCACGGACTCTCACCAGGCAGGTGAAGTGCATGAAGATCGAAAATGAACATTATGCCACTATCATCACCAACTGTGAGGACAGCAGCTGCTGTGCCACTTTTGGGGATGGGACATCTGTGATTGCAAAACCTCAGGGGACATACCAGGTAGGTCCGGGGGCAGATGAGGAGTGCGAAGGTACCAGGGAGGGCTGGGGCAGCAAGCTTCCCTGCTGCGTGGGCCCTAGTTACTCTGATCGCAGCACTTGATCTCAAAACACACTTCTTAGTCTCTTTTTATTTCTCTTCTTTTTACTCTCTGTTTCAGTAATACATTGTCCTGATTGTTTTACAGTGCTTTGGTATTCTTGGATCAAGGTTATAAACCAAAATGTTTGTACTTGAGGTTCTCTTTTGTGGATCGCGCTGCTTGTTGGGGACACTCATGTCTGTGGCTTCCCTTTCCCAATACTTCTGTGCTCATTCTCTCTCCAGATCTTCCTCCCTCCCTTCATCCCCACTCCATAAAGGGAGCATAAAGTCTTTAAGGGTCCAGGGAGGACAGTTTACCCAGCCAAAGTGAAGCTTTGCTCCCGACATAAGCTTGCAACATCTACTTTTCATGACTCTTTCATTTTAAAGACTTTTTCCAAAATACCTGCAGTTGGTCTCTGCCAACTGCCATTGACAAGCACCGTCATCACCAGCGTGACACAGGGGAGTGGGATCATGAGGGTACATTTTAAATGTACAAAACTGTCTAAAAAGAGAGGTTAACCCTGAGACGGCCACTATTGTGTCTTGTCAGCACTAAATACACCAATGCATGGGAAAGGAGACAGCCATGATCATTGTTTTTCTCTCTGGCAATAATGTGTCGTGGATGGGGGAGGAGTCATTCACCAAGCTGTAGGGTTTATACAAGAAGAAACTGATGTACAGTCTAGGAAAAATCCTTTGTCCCTGTGTCAGAAACTGAAGCCAGCTTCCCTATACCAGAAGTCTACTGCACTGTTTGGGGAAGGGGTTGGGGCAGGGCAGGGTGTCTGTCTGCCTGTCTGCTGTTTGTCTGTCTGCTATAACAAAAAAATGCATGCAACTCCAAGACTGTAAGCAGGAATAACTTATTTTACCCCAGAGAAGAATTTACTGTCTTTTTTTTTCTTTTTTGCTTTTTGGGTCACACCTGACGATGCTCAGGGGTTACTCCTGGCTTTGAACTCAGAAATTATTCCTGGAAGTGCTCAGGGGACCATATGGGATGCTGGGAATTGAACCTGGGCCGGCCGCGTGCAAGGCAAACGCCCTACCCGCTGTGCTATCACTCCAGCCCACCAGAGAAGAATTTAAAATAATTATTTTTAAAAAATATGTAGATTGTTAATATGAGAGAAAGAACTATAGAGATAGAATATATATGTATATGTCTTATATATCTATATATGTATATAAACATATATATGGCTGATGGATTTTTATTTAAGCACTTTGAACATGGCATGTGAATTCCATGGTTTTGTATATGCTTGTGTGTGTGTGTGTGTGTGTGTAAGAGAGAGAGAAAAGGGAAGAAAGGGAGGGGGAAGGAGAGTGGAGGGAAGAACTCTCAGGAAAAACAGAAACATCAGTTTTGATCTACCTGGAGGGTTTAATATAAGCTGGAGGGTCTCACCTACCTATGTCATGGTGACGTTGAAAACCAGTGCCCTCTTGTCATCATAGTGAGAATTAGCAGATTAGCAGCCACTGAAAACGGAAGATTAGATCTCAGGTTACCCCAAAGCTCCATCCCTCAAATATGCAGTTATTTGTGGAGTTTATTGATATTCTATGAGTTTATTGATATTCTTGCACAGATAGATTGATATAGATTGTTTTCATCAAATGTGGGGTTTTAAGCAATGATTTCTTCAGATATTTTTGTATAGCATTCTCATTCTTTCCCTGGGATTCTCTTTTTGTTTTTTTCTTTGTGGATCACACTTGGCGATGCTCAGGGGTTACACCTGGATTTGCACTCAGGAATCACTCCTGGCAGTGCTCAGGGGACCATATGGGATGCTGGGAATCGAACCCGGGTCGGCCACATGCAAGGCAAACACGCCCTACCCGCTGTGCTATCACTCCAGCCCCTCCCTTGGATTCTTAATGTCCAGGTATTGCTCTACGTGCTGGAGTGCCCCACAAGCCTCAGACACTGTTCATTTTTCTACATGTTTTTACCACTCTCTTTCTCAGACTGGCTAATCTGTTGCTTTATGACATAAAGTTTGCTTATTCTTTATTCATCCAGCTCAGATTTGATGTTAACTGCATTGTGAATTGTACATCTCCTTTTTGAGATTCCAGCGTGCCTATCCATTTTTCAAAATAGTTCCTACTTATTAATATTTCTACCTGTTGAATTGTCATGCTCTACTTTGTTTCAGTTCATTGCATGTGATATTTTTCTTTAACGTATTCTATCAGCTCACTTAAGGTAAAGGTAAAGGTAAAGGCCCTCCTGTTGATCATCGATTTGCTTGAGTGGGCCCAGTAACGTCTCCATTGGAGACTTTGTTGTTACTGTGTTTGGCATATCGAATACGTCACGGGGAGCTTGCCAGGCTCTGCCGTGCGGGCAAGATACTCTCGGTAGCGTGCCGGGCTCTCCAAGAGGGGCGGAGGAATCGAACTCGGGTGGGCCATGTTGGCTGCATGCAAGGCAAACGCCCTACCGCTGTGCTATTGCTCCAGCTCACTTACCGTCTTTGTTTAGTAAGGGCAGAGTCTGGATTTTCTTGAGGGAAATATTGATTGATTGATTGCTTCTTCATTGTCCTCTTATTATATAAAAATTCAGAAATATTTCAATCCACAGAGACAGCAGATCATTGAATACAGGGGTCAAAGGGCAAGAATTATGAAGAGTGACTGCTAATGACATCGGGGTTTAATGATGATGAAATATTTTCATCGGGTTGCTAATGATGAAAACATTCTTGAATTAGAACTAATAGTGGCACAAGTTTTTGAGCACACTAATGTCCACTTAATGTGTACTTTAAAGTGATTTTAGTTGTGGTATGTGAAATATATAATAAAAAAAAAAGGAATCTACCTACTTGAGTCAAAAGTCATTACCTCCTGAAAATATCCGCATTCAGCACATCATATAAAGGGTTGATACCCAGGATACATAAAGTACTCACAAAAATTAATTTAAGAAATTTAAAAAGCCTATCAAAATGGGGAAAAGAAATGAACAGACACTTCTTAGAGGGAAACAGGCAGATGGCCAGTCAGTACGTGGGGAAAAATAAAACAACTCAGGATCACTTATCACTAGAGAAAATCAAGATAAGACAACAATGAGATGTCATCTTACACGACTGACAATGGCACATATCAAAAGCTGTAGGAACAATCTATGCTGGTGAGGATGTGTTAATTGAAAACAACAACAACAACAAAAACACTGCAGGTGTCTGCTTCAAATCCTGTAAGAAACAGTATCAAGAACCCACAGTCAATTCCAAACTGAGAATTGAACAGCCATATAACCCAGCAATTCCACTTTGGGGCATCTGCCCCCAGGATTTAAAAACAATTCATTCAAAATGCCATATGCAAACCATTATTTACTGCTGCACTTACACAATAGCTGAGATATGGAATCAACCTAGGTATCCAACCACAGATGAATGGATTATAAAGATGTGGCGTAGCTACACAGTGGAATACTATGCAACTGCTAGGAACAGTGAAATCATGCTGACTTTGCTGCAGCCTGGCTGAAACTGGAAGATATCATGCTGAGTGAAGTAAGTCAAAAGAAGAAAGATAAATACAGGAAGACCTTACTTATCCGTGGTAAATAGAACAACTAGATGAAGAAATGTATTGTAGTAAAGTAAACTTCATCCCAGAATTTAGAGGAGGAGGACAGAGAAGGAGAGAAAGTAAGGCAGAAGGAAGAAGAAAAGAGAAGTAATGGGTGAACAGGGATCAGGGCTTCAGTTATACTGGTGATAAGGGATAATGGTATAGCCAGATATCCAGACACAGACCCAACCAGGGATAATGGTATCGCCGGATATCCAAGCACGGACTCAACCACTGAGAACATGAGATCTAAGCTGCAATCACTGGAACTTTGTAATGCTCCTGTCAAGGTGACAGGCAGAAGGTGACAGAATGTGTGGGTGTGTGGGGTGGGGGTGGAGAGGGTTATAAGGACTATGGAAACACTGGTAGAGGGAAGTTGACACTGGTGGTGAGATTGGTGTTAAAATATTATATCCCTAAAACTCAACTGTCAATAACTTTGTAAATCATGGTTCTTTAATTAAATTAAAATTTATTAAAAAATTTTAAATAACGGTTTTTAAAAAGTCATTATCCACCAGCCACCACCATGCTGAGACCACTCTCCGCACGCATGAAGGTACTGGCAGAGGAACAAAGGCATGCGGGTCCTGGGGCTGAGGTCTCCAAGTCTGCTTGGATCGGCGCTGAGCATCCTCCACCCAGATCCACCATCTTCCAGTAGGCAGAGGTCACACCCACCAACTGGCCCCCTGGGCTGTGTAATCCCATCAGCGGCCAAGACCCAGAGACTATAAAACCCAGCTCCCGGAAGCACGCGTCTGTGAATCATCTTATTATCTCATTCTTACTTTGGACAACCTGGCAGGCTACCAAATGTAACCTGCCCACAAGGCACAGTCTGGCAAACTCCAAGTGGTGTACCCAATATGCCAAATACCAGTAACAATGATGGGTCTCATTCTCCTAACCCTGAAAGAGCCTTTAATATGGCACTTTTAAAAAAAATCTCAGTTAGTACCAGGAATCTTGCTCCATGAATGGAAGGCCAGCCACAGGCTCTAGGTGAAAAGGAAGCTCAGATAGAGAAGAGAGCACCAAATGAAGGGTGTTGTGAGGGCCCTCCCAGGGTGGGAGAAGCATGCTAAAAGTAGTCTATAGACCAAACATGATTGCCACTCAATGCCTCTCTTGCAAAACACAGTACCCAAAAGAAGAGAGAGAGAACAAGGGGGAATACCCTGCCACAGAGGCAGGATGGGTTGGGGGGGATCGGGTGTGGGGGGGACGCTGGGACCCGTGGTGATGAATGACGGGCACTGGTGGAGGGATGGGCACTTGATCATTGTATAACTGAAACCCAAGCACAAAATTTGTAAGCCTATAACTGTACCTCATGGTTTTTCACTAATAAAAAAAAGAAAAAAAAAAAACAAAACAAAAAATAAAATAAAATAAAATAAAAAAAATCTCAGGGCTAGGACGAAGAAGACGTTACTGGGGCCTGCTCGAGGCAATTGACGAACAACAGGATGGTCGTGATCGTGATTATCTAAAAACTATAACTTGAGGACTTGTGTCAGTCACCAGGGAAATAAAGACAAGGTTTTCTTCAAGCCAGTATATACCCTATAACTTTGATCCTCTTACAGATGCTTTTAGCCCAACAGCGTAAGTGTTTCTAAACATTTCTAATATGTCCATGTATGTTTGTGTCAGTAAAAATGTGTTAAAGTTTATTCACAGAACACAAGACTTTTATTATTTTGAAAATATATTTGAATGAGTAACGTATAAGGACACGGAAAAGTGCAGCTTAGTTAGTTTGTGTTTTGCAGCAGTCTAGTGGAGTGGTAGGGGGGTGATTGGAACACTCTGATGCTCAGGGACTCCTTCTGACTCTGCACTCAGGAATTACTCCTAGTGGTGCTCAGGGAACCATAGGGGATGCCAGAGTCTGAACCCAGGTCTACCACATGCAGGCAAGTGCCCTACTCACTGTACCTTCTATCCACTCTGGCCCTCAGTTTGCCTTTTTATCCATATTGCATAAGCCTTAAGTCCTTTCTTTCTTGCATAATATTTTCTTCCTACATAGAAACACAGTTTGTGGCTAGGCGCTATGAATATTTTCTCCCTGTCAAGTCAACCAGATTTGTAGTATTTCTCTTTTTCTGCACTTCTTCCAGGTGTTACCTCCAAACACAGGCTGTCTTCTTATTGATAAAGATTGTTCTGCTATATATTCCCATGAATCAAACAGCGATATCTACCATACTATCCCCAACACTGATGAACTGAGGTCTAGCAGATACATTATGAAACATACATCACAAGTTATATGTCAGGTCCTGGATCCCGAGGGAAACACGTTTCAGGTAAAGTACAACGTTAGTATGGACAGACATGCTGTAATTTTGCTTTTGAGATATTTCACCTTAAAATAGCACTGTAACACTGGCCTCCCCTTGTTCATCTATTTGCTCAGTCAGGCATCAGTAACGTCTCCATTGTGAAACTTGTTGTTACTGTTTTTGGCATATCGAATATGCCGCAGGGAGCTTGCCAGGCTCTGCCGAGCAGGTGGGATACTCTGGGTAGCTTGCTGAGCTCTCCGAGAGGGACAAAGGAATCAAACCCGGGTTAGCCACGTGCAAGGCAAACGCTCTACCCACTGTGCTATCGCTCCAGCTCATGCCCATTAAATTATTTACCTCCGATACTTTTAAATTTTGTATTTATTTTTCATTTTGGCCCACACCCAGCTGTGCTCGGGGCTTGATCCTGACTCTGCTTCAGGGATCACACCTGGCAGACTCAGAGAACCATATGGGATCTAGGGGATCAAACCTGGGTTGGCTGTGTGCAAGGCAGAAGTCCAACTCACTGTACTGTCACTTCACCCCCAACCTCTCATATTTTATGATTTTTTTCATTTATTGCCATACTTTGAAGAAACTATAATGCATCATAATAGCTTTCATTTGAAAGTATCCTACATGGGGGTATGGCGCCGCCAGCAGGTCAGTCTGTACCTGTGAAGTGAGTGCATCAGCAGCCTGATGGCGCCTTCAGACTTCCAGATACCCCTAAAATTGCTTCTGTGCCTTTGGCCAGACCCCAAAAACTTGGGGCAAAGTTTACCAAGAAAGTAAACGGCCAAAAGTTAGGTATGTGGGAGACACACCCACAAACCACCTCTGGCTCAGCTATATAATTGGAGGCACGGCCTCTCTGGTTCTTGATTGAACTGCTTAATGGCCATGATCCCAGAGACTCAGAAACAAATCTTGAAACCCAGCGGCTTTTGGCAGAAATGCGTCCGGTCCCTGCAGCAGATTACAGATGCTGGGCCAACCCGGGTGGGAATAGGTTTCATGCCTTGGCCTGTTCCCCCTGGCGGCCCGGTGGCCGCCATCCTCCAGAGGCCACTGGACAGACAGGTTTGGGTCTGCAGTGACGAGACATGTTGGGCCTCACGGGATGGGGGTGGAGCCGGTCCTGTCCTCCCCACCCCAACGAGACCCCCAAGTCATCGCCCACAAACGGCCTTTCTGGCTCCTGATAAAGCTGCTTAATGGCCATGATCCCAGAGACTCAGGAGCAAATCTCAGAATCCAGCAGGTTTTGGCAGAAATCCCTCCATATTTAAGTGTTAAAATTTTAGAATTTCAAAATTGCATGGCCACTACTGCAGCCACGCTACATCATATGTTATTCATAACCAGCAATAGAAAACAAATTATCTACTGTTGCCTTTTCAGCAGATCTGAGTCTTGGGGTAAAATTTCAAATTATAATGGTGGGTCTGGTTCAAAATATTGAATGTGATCAAAGTAGAGAGAGAGTAATATGGAAATCATCTGCCCCACAGGTGGGCGGAGGGTGTGGGATGAAGGTATACTGGGGTTGTTGGGGGTGGAGAATGGGCACTGGTGAAGGGACGAGTGTTTCATTGTATGACCGAGACTTAGACCCGAAAGCTTTGTAACTGCTCTCACGGTGATTCAATAAATAAAATTATAAAAAAATTTTAAAAAGTAAGGTGGAGTTCATGCACAATTCAATCAGCTAATCAGTGGCTGAATAAATAGCAGTACTCCTACATAAAAAAAAAAAGAAAAAATATATACCACAACCTGTTTGCAAGCCCAACAATTGAGAATATAGGCATGTTAAAGCCAAATAATTTAAAGAGGGGAATAAATATTACTAGACACACAAAATAAATGCCATCAAAATGGTGATGAGGTATGGGGAGCTGTGTAGGGGGTACAGATTATGGTGGAGGAAAGTGGAGACTCTGGTGAAGGATGTGATGTCGGACCATTATCTGCTTGAAGCACCAATGCCTCCTAGATTGAAACACAGGAGTCATCCAGGCTAATCACTCGCTTTTCTTGTTGATGTTTTTCTGCAGCATCCCTTCAGTGGTCTTCAGCTAGAAACATGCCCCTCAGAGAAGCCCAGGGCATCTCTAGACAGCATAGATTTCTTCTTGTAATATTTCTTTTTTTTTTAATGTTTTTCTCTGCAGTACTGATGAGTCCATGGATCCTCATTTTATTTTATTTTTGTTTGGGGACCACACCCAGTGATGTTCAAGGCTTATTTCTGGCTCTGTTCTCAGGAACTACTCCCGATGGGGCTCCAGGGACCTTCTGAGATGCTGGGGATTGAACCTGGGTTGGCCGCTTGCAAGGCAAGAGCCCTAACTGCTATGCTATCCTCCATCGGAGAATCCTCATTTTACAATTCACAGAACCCCAGACTATAAGCCCCTTCTACGCCATCACTTCTTTCAGTGTTTTAAATAATTACCACTGGTGGACTTTCCTACATGTTCCTACATGTTTACATTTCCAGTTCCTGAAATGTGGGGATTGTTCTGTGCCCCTCCTCCTTCCTAGGCCCTTCCTCTAAGAGCATACCAGTTCCGCTTCTAGTGTGTTCTCACATTCTAGATATGGTTCAAAAGAAGAGGTGCACTACTAGGCTTTACCTTTTTTTTCAAGTGATAGTTTTTTTTAATGAGTTTAAGGCTTCTTGTGTGTATGTGTGTGAAGTTGGGGATCACCTCATCTACCTCACTCATGTTACCATGAGATAACCCTGTTTTTCACTTTGATTAGGGCAATTTATACTTAGTGTATAAATATCTATATAAATTTATACTTAGTGAATAAATATCCTTCATGGTTGAGATTTTTGATTACCTAATTTCTCTAATAGGATAAGATAAGTGTGCAGTGTATTTTACTATATAATTAAAGTATTTTAAATATTATAATACTACTGTAAACATCAGCTTTATAGTATATATTTTCATTTTAGTTGTTTATATTATAGCCTTATAATATATTTTCCTTTTAGTTGTTGTTCTACTTTGTTCCTTAGGTCATGGCTGATGGTAGCACATTTACTACATCACCTGAAAATAATGTGAAAAATGACTCAAATGTAAACTCCGAGGGCTATGATAGTTTATCTGCTGTTAACCTTCATAAGAATCACCTGCAAATCTATGGTGAACACGTCCCCAGGTGACACAATACAGTGACTATTATTGTTCTATGACTTGTACCAAAACTTTCTCCAGTTCAAGAATCGTTTTAGCTGAGTGCTTCAAGCTAAGAGCTTATTTTATTTCTTCAAATAGATTTTTTGTCATCTATGCTGATGGCTCAGGGATAGAACTTCTTCGAGACAGTGACATAGAAGAATTCCTATCGGTGGCTTATGGAGAGTCAACGTCTGTAGTTCTACAAGAGCCAGTTCAGGAACAGCCAGGTACCACACCTGCTCACACTTCCCCTGCTCATCCTCCTCACCAATCCTCTTCCCTAGCATTTTCTCTTATGATCCTCTTTGCTTACTTCTTCCTCCCTACCCCACTGCCTTCGGGGGTGGAGGAGGCGACAAGGGAGTCGTCGAGGCCACACTCAGCATTGTTCTGGGAATATTCCTGGCTCTGTGCTCAGGAGAAATGCCTGGCAGTGCCTGGGGAACTGTATTTTGTACCAGGAATTTGAGTCAGGGTCAGGTTCATGCAAGGCATGCACTGAAAGCTTCTTCTATCTTTTCCATCCCCTTTGCTCGCTTTTTGAACTCTACTTTTTCACGGAATAACCCCAATTTCTGCACACAGGTCTTGAACTTATGTATATCTCTCAGTCTTAGGTCTGGACCTCAGTTCCTATTTATGTATTCATTTCATTTTAGAAGGGAAAAATTTTTTTAATTATATATTTCTTATAAGTTAATTTTTTGGGTCATTTAAAAAATGCAACTTTGGTGAGTTTAATATAAGAAAAGAAAGTTCATTTGATAAATGAATTAGAAAACTGATCTGAAATGCAAGACTTTATATGTAGTATTTATTGAGAATTTATATTATTTTCATCAATTTCAAAGTAATCAGTGTGGCTATAGGTTAGAGACACATACTACATCAAGAACTCCTGGATTCTGTAATATATATGTATGTGTGAACATGGATATAAATGTTTATGTTATATGTGTACAGAACTGTGTTCTGTGTCTTAAATTTGTGTGTGAGCTTTATCTTTGCTCTGAGAGATGTATTTGTGCTCATTTATGAACATGCTTGCATCTTTGCATATTTTTATCTTTTAGTTTAGTAATAACTTCTGTGGGGTTATTTCATACTGCTTTCCTACTCATTCATTTAGATCTTGTCTACACTAACTTTGACTTGATAATCCACTTGTTGTTAGGAATACAATGGTGATGTGACAGGTATGTGTTTTTTGTAGAGTTTATAGCTTAAAGCAAGAGATGGGCATTAGTTATGAAGTCATACAAATAGCTTTGTATTTATAAATTGGGAGAAAAATCGATAAAGGAAAGGAAGCTCAATGAAAATATTAACAGAATGATCAGACATAGTTTAGTAGAAGTACCTGAAGACACTGAAGTTAAGAACTAGTGGGTAAGTAGGAGTTGATTAAGAGAAAGGGAAGCATGGACAAGAGGCTACAAGGTAGAAAGTATTGGAAAACGTGGAGAAAAGGTGAAGGTACGTCATAAAAGCCTTATCTTTTTGAAGATAATTGAGAAAAGATTCTTAATTATCAAAAGTTTTCTGAATTTAGTAAATACTAAATTTCTTGGAATATTTTTGTCTCTCTCTTTGGGGGTGGGCGTGGGAGCACACCTCTTAGTGCGCAGAAGCCACTAAGGCCACCAGGGCCACATGGGGAATGGGCAAGGGACTAAACTCAGGGCTTGGCATGTGCTCACCACTCTGAGCCACATCCCTAGCCTCCAAAATATTTTTGATGGAGAAATGATCCTCTCAAAACTCCTTGACCAGGTACCTTGAGCATCACTGTCCTCCGCCCTTTTCATGAAGCATCACAGTGGCTAATGAAGAAAGAGCTAGATACGATTGTTCCTCCTAATCTCCGATCAAGATCATGGGACACATTTCCTTCAGCTGAGGTATAAACTTTTTTGCTTTGTTTTCGGGCCACATCTGGTTGCGCTCAGGAATTACTCCTGACTCTGCACTTAGAGATCATTCCTGGCAGGGTTTGGGGCACCCAAAGGGGTATTGGGGATCACACCCAGGTTGGGAATGGACAAGGCAAGCCCCTTACCCACTGTATTATCTCTAGGTCTCAAGGTATAAACTTTTCTCTCAAAAAGTCATTGAATTTGAATCATTTTCCATCAGTGGATCAATTACAAGTCTCCTCTCATTTGTTTATGTATTTTCTTACATATATTTTTAATGGCTACCAAAAAAGCTTACATTTGAAGATTTTAAGTACTGTAGACTATATAAAAATATGACAAATGATCAAATCTCAATTTTATTTTTTTTGTGTGTGTGTGTTACCAAGAGTGAAATCCAGGGCCTGGTACATAAGCATTCTCCCTACCACATCGTAAGGTCCTTGGTGTTATTTCTTTTGCAGGTGTGAACATTTCCCTGTCTCTGTCACTGTCCTCCCATTGTTCATCAATTTTGCTCAAGCGGACCCAGTAACGTCTCCATTTTGAGACTTCTTGTTGCTGTGTTTGGCATATCGAATATGTCATGGGTAGCTTGCCAGGCTTTGCCGAGCAGGGGAGATACTCTCTATAGCTTGCTGGGCTCTCCAAGAGGGGCGGAGGAATCGAACCCAGCTCAGCCGGGCTGGCTGCACTCAAGGCAAATACCCTACCGCTGTGCTATCGATCCAGTCCTATGGAACATTTCCCTATGTCATGAAAATAACCAGTTTGAATAACCCATATTACATCTTTTCTACCATGGTGGAATTACTGATATTATGAAAAAGCAGAAATCTTACCTTCTGACATTCAGTGTTAGTTTTATTTTATTTATTTTGATTTTGGGGCTCTTAACGGGCTGGAGCGACAGCACAGCAGTAGGGCGTTTGCCTTGCATGCAGCCAACATGGCCAACCCGAGTTCGATTCCTCCGCCCCTCTCGGAGAGCCCGGCAAGCTACCAAGAGTATCTCGCCCGCACGGCAGAGCCTGGCAAGCTCCCCGTGATGTATTGGATATGCCAAACACAGTAACAGCAAGTCTCATGATGGAGACATTACTGGGCCTGCTCGAGCAAATCAATGAACAACGGAAGGACCGTGACTATGATTTTGGGGCTCTGTGATGTTGCTCAGGGGTTACTCCTTGCTCTCCACTCAGGAATTACTTCTGGCATTGCTCAGGGGACCATAAGAATACCAAGTTGGCCGTATTCAAGACAAGCACTCTGATCTATGTACTATCACTCCAGCTGTTAGTGTTAGTTGTTTTTTTTTTTTTACATTTCAGCACTTTTTTTTCCCCTTTATTTTATTTTATTTTATTTTTTTACAGTTGTAGATTTACAATTTTTTGTGCTTGGGTTTCAATTATACAATGATCAGATACCCATCCCTCCACCAGTGCCCATTTTCCACCACCATGGATAATATCCCCCCACCCCCATCCCCCCATCTCCCCCTGCCTCTGTGGCAGGGCAATCCCCTGTGTTCTCTTTCTCCTTTTGGGTGTTGTGGTCTGCAAAAGAGGCATTGAGTGGCAAACATGTTCTGTCCATAGTCCACTTTCGATAGTGTTAGTTTTAACATACAACTTTAGGTCTTTTACTCTCTCCTTTGTTCTTAATTTAGTAATACACAAGCAGTGTAGAAAGCTAACAGGAATAATAGCACTGGAATTCTCAGCTGCTATATTTGTTTGTTTTGTCTTTGGGCCATATCTGGCGATGCTCAGGGCTTATTTCTGGCTCAACACAGAGAAATCACTCCTAGCAGTACTCCTGGAGGCATATGGAATGCCGAAGGTCAACCGAGGTTGACCTTACATGCTGTACTATTGCTCTCACCCAACTTCTGCAATTTTTGATGAGGTTTTTTGTTTGTTTCTCGTTTGGGGGGGATGGTGATGTTCAGGGTTTACTCCTGGCTCTGCACTCAGGAATTACTCCTGGCAGTGCTTGGGGGACCATATGGGATGCCAGAGATCGAACCTGGGTCGGCTGAGTGCAAGGCAGAGGCCCTACCCGCTGTGACATCGCTCCAACACCTGCTGCTGGATTTTAAATGTAAACATTATTACTGTTATTGAAAGAGGACTCTTTTTTTTTTTAATTTAGGAATATTGCTACTTACTCAGCCACTGATTAGCTGATTGAATTGGGCATGAACTCCACCTTACTTTTTTTTTCATTTTTTATAATTTTATTTATTGAATCACCCTGAGAGCAGTCACAAAGCTTTCGGGTTTAAGTCTCAATCATACAATGAAATACCCCTACCTTCACCAGTGCCCATTCTCCACCCCCAACAACCCCAGTATACCCCATCCCACACCTTCCCCCTACTGTGGGGCAGATGATTTCCATATTACTCTCTCTCTCTACTTTGATTACATTCGATATTTTGACATCAAACCCACCATTATTATTTGGGATTTTACCCCAAGACTCAGATCTGCTGAAAAGGCAACAGTAGACAATTTGTTTTCTATTGCTGGTTATGAATAACATATGATGTCGTGTGGCTGCAGTAGTGGCTGCACGATTTTGAAATTCCGAAATTTTAACAATTAAATCTGAAGGGATTTCTGCCAAAACCTGCTGGGTTCTGAGATTTGTTCCTGAGTCTCTTGGATCATGGCTGTTGAGCAGCTTGATCAGGAGCCAGAAAGGCGTTCATGGGTGGCGACTCGGGGTCTAGTTGGGATGGGAGGAAATGGCTGGCTCCACCCCCATCCCGTGAGGCCCTGTGTGTCTCATCACTGCGGGCCCAAACCTGACTGTCCAATGGCCTCTGGAGGATGACAGCCACTGAGCCGCGAAGGGGGAGCAGGCGGAGGGACAGCACCCTTTCCCCCCTGGGGTGGCCTGGTGACAGTAACCTACTGCGCGGTCTGGTTGAATTTGTGCCAAAAGCCGCTGGGTTTCAAGATTTGTTTCTGAGTCTCTGGGATCATGGCCAGTAAACAGCTTGATCAGGAGCCAGAGAGGCTTTTCGTGGGCAGTGACCCGGGGTCTCATTGGGCTGGGGATGAAAGGGCTAGCTCCAACCCTATCCCGCGAGGCCCCGCGTGTCTCGTCACTGCGGGCCCAAACCTGACTGACCGTCCAGTGGCCTCTGGAGGATGGTGGCCACTGGGCCGCCAGGGGAAACAGGCCAAGGCACAAAACCTATTCCCATCTGGGATGGCCTGGCGCTGTAACCTACTGTAGTGACTGGATGCATTTTTGCTAAAAGCCATTGGGTTTTGAGATTTGTTTCTGAGTCTCTGGGATTGTGGCCATTAAGCAGTTCGATCAGGAACCAGAGAGGCCATGCCTCCAATTATATAGCTGAGCCGGAAGTGGTTTGTGGGTGTGTCTCCCACATACCTAACTTTTGGCCATTTACTTTCTTGGTAAACTTTGCCCCACATTTTTGGGATGCGGCCAAAGGCACAGCAGCGATTTGGGGGTATCTAGAAGTCTGAAGGCGCCATCAGGCTGCTGATACACTCACCTCACAGGTTGACCTGCTGGCGGCACCATAGCCCCAAAGAGGACTCTTTTAAATTTGTGTTTTGTGTTTATGGTTTTCTCATGCCTCCCATGGTGCTCAGGAGGTTGGGCCCAAACCAATAAGGAGGAGATTCAATGCAAGGGCCAGAGAATGTGATACTGCCTGGTCCCTGTGGTGCTGGAAGTCTTCAGAGCCACATTGAAACCTGATACAGAACATGTGATTCTGAGAATCAAACCCAAATCACAAACTGCCAAGAATGTGCTTTTAATGGTTGTATTATCTTCCAGCTTCAAGGTTGTTTTTTTTTTTGTTTGTTTGTGGATTTTTTTTAAGAATGAGAAAAAATATCTTGAGCAAGAATATCAAGGTTTTGTATCTTGTAAGATTTACCACTTGTTTGTTTATTTTTGTTTTGGGGGGCCATGTTCCAATGGTGCTCAGAGATTACTCCTGGCTTGGCACTCAGGGATAACTCCTGGCAGGGCTCAGAGGACTGTATGTGGTGGACTGTATTGGGGACTGAATCCAGATCGGGTGTGTGCAAGGTGAAAACCCTACTTGCTCCAGCTTGTTCAAGCTCGTGCCATTTTATTTTACAAGCAATTCACATAATGTATCTAGCTTATTGACAGATGTTGAACTTTTTAATCAGTGTTTCTTAAACAGGAGCCATATGGCTCCCTATAGGTTCCCCAGGGTAGCCCAAAGGGTCTTACAGGTGAAAATCACTTAAATGGCAAATCTGAACAGAAGAATGGGGGCCATCTAGTAGAACAGTGGCCATGGGAAGGGAACAAAGGGACCAGGTATGGGGAAAGCTGAGAAGCACTGATTTAAACCAGCAGACAGTGATGAGGAGGAGGAGAATGTTTTTGAGTTACAATGGCTTTTACTTTTCTAAACAATCTTTTAAATGTAGGGATAAACACAACAAACACTTTCAATAAGATTTCTGCTTAAATAAGCTCTATTTTAATTTGGTGGCTGTAATCAACACAGTAAATGAAGAGGACATGAATTCTAATCAGCATGCTACCATCCACTCATGCAATAGTAAAGTAAAAGTAAAGGCCCTCCCGTTCATCATCGATCTGCTCAAGCGGGCCCAGTAACGTCTCCATTGGAGACTTTGTTGTTACTGTGTCTGGCATATCGAATACGTCACGGGGAGCTTGCCAGGCTCTGCCGTGCGGGCGAGATACACTCGGTAGCTTGCCGGGCTCTCCGATAGGGGCGGAGGAATCGAACTCGGGTTGGCCATGTTGGCTGCATGCAAGGCAAACGCCCTACCGCTGTGCTATCGCTCCAGCCCCACTCATGCAATATTTTGGATAAGTTTTCCTGTACCTCCTTACCTTATCTGGACTGTGCAGAGCACAGCAGGTGGCTCCCTGAGGGCTTATGAGGTTGGAAGGATCGTGTCATGACAAATGAGGAGCCACATCTGAGATTAGTGGTGGAAGTACATCTTCTTCCTCCGTCCCTCTTATGCAAAGACCCTTTGAGATCTTGTAGGAGTGGTCCAGCCCAGGCAAGGCCCTGAGTGGTCATTATTTGTCAGGCATTGGACCCAGAGTAGCAATTAACAATGAAATACTACAGACCTACATTGTATGGCTGAAGGCACTAAAATACACCATTCCTGAAAGTCAGCTACAGAGATAATAACAATAATATAGAGACAGGTATTTCTGCTCAAGAGGATCTGAAAAAAATACTGGACGTGCTTAATCTGAGTGAACAGGGAGACTGACCATATTAATGGGAGAGTTTCCCCTCAAAGACTCACTCGAGATCAGAATGAGCATCAGAATAACCTAAGGAACCAGAAAGTTATAGACTGCTTCAGTCCAAATGTTTTAAAATGACTTGTAGTATTAAAGAACAGTCACATGCATAGACTACTCTGTCATTACATGGCCATGAAGCCACATTGCTTTAGTACTCCCTTGAATGCTATCTAACAGGACATCAGGCAACAGAATTTCCAAATATCAGATTTATAAAAATATTAAATAAAATATCCAGACTTGCTCGAGTAAAAAGGTAAAGGCCCTCCCGTTGATCGTCGATTTGCTCGAGCAGGCCCAGTAACGTCTCCATTGGAGACTTTGTTGTTACTGTGTCTGGCATATCGAATACTCTCGGTAGCTTGCCGGGCTCTCCGAGAGGGGCGGAGGAATCGAACTCGGGTCGGCCTTTTTGGCCGCTTGTAAGGCGAACGCCCTACCCGCTGTGCTATCGCTCCAGCCCATCCAGACTTGGGGGAACAGATATTTAGAGGAAAGATTGCCCAGCCTTTGTGGTTTTTCTTACCTTTTATGCCTATATTTGCAAAACTTTTATTTGTTTTTTTTGGGGAGGACCACATCCAGTCATGTACTCAGAGATTACTGGTTCAGGAATCACTCCTATTGGGGCTCAGGGTAGCATGTAGTAGAGATCAACCCCCATCAGCCATGTGTAAGGCAAGTTCCCTATCTACTCTGCTACCACTCCAACTCCTACAAAACTTCTTGAGCAATTTTTTTAACCATTGTATTTCCAAACAAGTAATTTCTACCATACTGTCTACATAGGAAAATACCTCTTGTCTCCCTGCCCCCAAAATCCTAATTTCCTATTAAAACTTCTCATATTTGGGGGGGAGGGGAAGTTACCCTTAAAAATTTCTGATATATTTTTCACTGGTGGATATGTTTTTTTTTAATAGAAAAAAACTCCAGGACCTCCTTTTGGCACTCGCATTTGGAAGGGTCTTAATATTGGAGCCAAGAAACTCATGAGCACGCCTGCTCCAATACTCAAGAGCCCTAATGTCCTGCAGATACGGAAATTCATCCAGCATGAGGTCATAAAGGATGATATGAAAACGAAGCTACAGATTTCCCTGAAGGTAATAGAATGCTGGTAACCTGATCCAAAAGAATCTGAAACAGGGCAAGCAGTCCTCTTGATTTACCGAGCAAGTTAAAATTGTGTAATTCTATCATTATTTATCCAATGCAGTATATGAATGTTAGCCTTTTAGAGGACAGGCATTTGAGAGATAGAAAATGGAGGGGTGGATGGGGATGGAAGGATACTGGGGACATGGGTGGCGGAAAATGTACACTGGTGGAGGAACGGGTGTTCTATCATTGTATGACTGAAACACAAACATGAAAGTTTTGTAACTGTAGCTCACGGTGATTCAATTAAAAAATAAAACTGGGGCTGGAGAAATAACACAGCGGGTAGGGTGTTTGCCTTGCATGCGGCCAGCCCGGGTTCGATTCCCAGCATCCCATATGGTCCCCTGAGCACTGCCAGGAGTAACTCCTGAGTGCAGAGCCAGGATTAACCCCTGTGCATCACCGGGTGTGACCCAAAAAAGCAAAAATAAATAAATAAATAAAAATAAAAAATAAAACTATGGGGCTGGAGCAATAGCACAGCGGGTAGGGCATTTGCCTTGCATGCAGCCAACCCGGGTTCGATTCCCAGCATCCCATATGGTCCCCTGAACACTGCCACAGGTAACTCCTGAGTGCAGATCCAGGAGTGACCCCTGTGCATCGCCGGGTGTGACCCCCCAAAAAAGCAAAATAAAATAAATAAAAATAAAACAACAAAAAAAGAAAATGCTTTATGGTGGGGGCTGAAATGATAGTACAGCAGATAGGGCCTTTGTCTTGCACGCAGTCGACCCAGGTTCAATCCCCAGCATCATGCATATGGTCCCCTGAGCACAGCCAGGAGTAATTCCTGAGTGCATAGCCAGGAGGAATCTCTAAGCATCGCTGAGTGTGACCCAAAAGGTAAAAAGTAAAAAAATTAAAAATCATGATTCCCCTAAAGTAAGGAAATTTTGAGGACCCAAAGAGAAGACAAGTTACCTTTATGTATGATTGATATAGTCTACTTCTTTTCCTACTATATGAAAAATTGGTCTAGTGATTGGTCTAGTGACAACGAGAAAAAAGATGTAACTGCAAATTGATCTGATACCCATGGTAGTAAAGTGTTACTGATTTCTGAAAATGGTATAAGAATTTGCAAATATATACTTAATTGTATATACTTGATCATATCTCTGACATGTTGCTGGATTGGGACACTTACTAGCTCTTTGGATCCAATGATAAGACCCTTCTATTTAGTTAACTCAGAGCAAGAATTGCTTTTTTTTTTGTTTATGATTCTATACCCAGCATCTGGCATGCTAGTGGGGACCATTATGTAGGAAGATGGATCAAATATTTTTGGAAAAATTGAAATTTTCTCATAGAAGAAAAACCATGAATTAAACAACTGAATAACATAGAATCCTCAAGATTACCTTTGAAAAGGACTCTAGAAATCTTCTAGCCCAATTCTGTCCATTTTATTGATAAGGGCCCTGTAGTATTCCCATTAGCAGCTGGACTCGCTGTGGGCCTCATATAGATCTAATTCTAATATCCTGTGGTTCTTTTGTGGGTTTAGTTTTGGACTCTCCAGATCTTTGTTTATAAACATATTGAGGAAAATGCTTTTAGATTGCTTGGCCAGTAGCTGGATATTGAGCCTTGTTAATGTATATATTATTAATAGTCTTAAAATGTTTCAAATTGAGGCTAGAGAAGCAGTATAACTGGTAAGGTGCTTGCCTTGCTTGAGGCTGACTCTAATTAGATCCATGAACATTGCTATGCAATGAGTTCTCTTGGGCACCAGTAGGAGTGATCCCTGAGCACACAGTCAGGAGTGAACCCTGAATACACCGCTGGTGTGGCTCATCTTCTCCCCCCCCACACACCCCAACACACACACACACAAAATATTTCAAATTGCCATTAACTATCTTTTTATATTTTTTCAATTAGGATTACATAAACCATATCCTAAAGAAAGAAGATGAGCTACAGGAAATGACAGTTAAAGATTTCAGGACTGACGAGGAGCGAGGCAATGCTGCAGATCTTCTCAAGCTAGTGATGGTGAGAAGGAAATGTCTTACATACCAGTGCTTTTAATTGCTCCAATATCAGTGCTTCAAGGCAAAACAGCACGAGTAAAGCTCTCTCTCTAGTTTCTAGGAAGCACTTAGTCTGTCTTCATGGTTTCTTCTTTCTATGGCGAGTGTATTTCATACATATTAATTTTTCAAGCACTTCTTTGACTCTTCCTTAAATCAGATCATTCCAAAGTAAGAAAGTTTACTGCTTCGGAGAAATGAACTCTATTTGAAGTGTTGATTGAATTGATTAACCAGAAAGAATGGGAAACATCAGAATTTCTATAAGCTAAAATGAGGTTCATTTTAAGATGTCTGCTGGTGATAACTAAACTAATCCCAATTTTGTGTTGTCATTAAAAAGCAAATTAACCACAGGCCCGTGAGATATTACCAGGGTTGAGTCTCATGTCTTGCTTTCAGTCAACCCCAATTCTATTCATGGCACCACATTGTCCCAGGTGCAACCACAGCACAAGTTTCCAGCCCCACCTCGGTGGTCCACAGAATTCCTAACTCTGCAGGATCTGAGCAATAATGCATCTTTGGGGCCTTCACATGGAGTTGCCCACGTGATTGGCCAAGATTCACTACGACTGGCCTCAGACCTTCTGAGCATTGTTTGGACATTCCCACAATTAATCCAATAGTAATTTCTGTGAGAAATCTGTTGAGCATATATCTAATGCTTCCTAACAAAGTGGATTTTTAAGTAACATAATTATCATATTAAGGAATTCTGTCTTCATTTCAGTCTTTCCCCAAAATGGAGGAAACTACAAAAAGTCATGTTACTGAAGGTAAAAATATTTCATTTTCTCTACAAATTATTTTAGATTTCAAAAACATGTTTCTTACATTTGATAGAAAATTAGCAAAATAGTATATGCACCTATATCTATTGTATGGGTCACGTTGTATTGTAAAGTTTTATTTACACGGTTTTCTGTGAGAGTCTAGAAAAACATGATTGTGCGTAATTCATTTTTGACTTTCATCTGTTGATTGGAAAAAGTCAGCATTGACTTTTATGTTAACCTCATCCTGTATTCAGAAGATAACAATACTGGAAGGAAACAACCAACCCTCTCCCAAGGACACACATACACAGTGGATTTTTGAGCAATCACAGTAGCACTGTAACACTGTCCTCCTGTTGTTTACTAGTAACGTTTCACAACAAATTGTGAGACTTATTTTTTGGCATATCAAATATGTCTTGGGTAGCTTGCCAGGCTCTTCCTGGCTCTGCAAGGCTAACTCCCTACCTAGCAAAAATCTTTCAATATTTTAAATTATATGCATCCCCCAAAAGTCTTATCTTAGAAGATGTGTTAATTTGAGACACACTTATTTTGAGTATATGCAACCCCAATAAGCTTATTATATGCTTTCATGGTTCACAGAAGACAAAGTGTGTAGAGTTGGTGATTTGGAGGGGTCACTTGTCATCTGTCATATTTTTGTCATCTGGCATAGCTGAGACTCAGCCATAGATTTCATCAACCCACAGATGTGTTTTGTGGGCATCTCCAATGGAGGCATGCACGGTGGGTTCTTTAATTGTTTTCTAAATTGCAAGTTTCTTGGAATGTCACATTACCACATAGTAACGGGAAACTGAAGGTGATTAGCAGCTGCCTCTTTAGAATAAACTGAAGAATCCATCGCAACTCTATTTCCCTCTCCTTACAGTTTGTTTTTATACTTTTTCATGCCTTTTTATTAGGACTGGTAGATTTAGCACAAAATGAAGGAAGGGGTCAGAGGGACGTTACAGTGGTTAAGACTCTTGCTTTTTGCATACCAAGGACTGTAGTTTGATATCTAGCACTGTATATGGTCCCTGAGCACTGTCTGGAGTGATCCTTGAGTACAGAGAAAGTAGTAATCCCTGAGCATAGCCAGGTGTAGCCTCCAAATGAAAAAAGTTAATGAAAGACCCAATCATTTTTTAATCCAGGTAAACAATACACTGTTCTCTCAGTATAAATAAGTATGTCTCTAATAGGATACATATACTAAAAGCTTGGGGTTTTTTTTTTTCTGAAAATTAGCTAATTTTTTTTTCTGATAAACCTAGCATTTGAATTTGTTTTTGCACAAGGAGAAATGTATCACAGAGGTAAATATGCAGGTTGTTTGAATGTGAAGAACAGTAAACATATTTTTAAATAAACAATAACTAGAGATATATTTACATTCCCCTGATGTATTAATAATGGAGCTCCAGAAACAAACTTCCCTAAATATTTCCTAGAGCACTAGTCTCTAGGATGACTTCACGAAAGATGAGTTTTACTATAAGTTTAGATAATTCAACATCATTTAATGCCATACTTTCTTCGAGAACCACAAACTACATGTACAAAAATTCCTATAGCAATGAGAAATAAATTCATGCAAAACTATATAAATCAGTATTTCCCAAGTTCAGACAATTATTAGCATGATTTTTTTCCTCTTTTAATCTGCAAGCTACCCGTGGCTATTCAATATACCAAAAACAGTAACAACAAGTCTCACTTCATGTTCTTGGAGTGAGCAGACGTCATTGGGCTACACTAGCACATGATAGGGATGAATGGAGATGTTACTGATGCCCGCTCGAACAAAATAGATGAACAACGGGACAACAGTGCTACAGTGCTAATCTGCAACGTCTCACCAAGATTCTGTTCTGGGCTCCCTGTCGAACCGCTGTACTACATTCTTATCCTGAGTTTAGCTACTTAGGCATCTTTTAGAAAAAATAATTTCAGAAAGTGACATTTTTGTTCTTTAAAGGTTTGATTCTTCAGAAGAATCCTCTCTCTTTCTCTCTCTCTTTTTCCTCTCTCACTCACTCTCTTTTGATCCCTTTCTGTTTTGATGTCAGATCCAGTATCCTCAGGGCTTAGCCATATTTCTGTGCTCAGGGATCACTGTTGGAAGTGCTTGAGTACTGGGTACCGAGTCAAGGTTGGTTATATACAAGGCAAGCACCTTGGCCCCATATTATCTCTCCAGCCCCCAAAATCTATTCTTAATAGAAGAAATTAAATGAGACAGAGATTTTTCTACTAAAGAGGAATAAATAAGGTGTTATGCATTGTACATTTTGACTAGAAGACGTATACCCTCTAATAGGATATTTCATGATAGTCATAGTAGTCTGATTTATAGTTGCTTAGACATGGAATTCTGGTAAATGTTTGCAAGATTAAATATAGCTTTTTCTGAGCTTCCCTAGGTTTGGGGTACAAAGGGCCCCTGCGCCACTGGGAAGAGAAAGGGATATTCTGTTAGTGGTTGTGATATTGGGATGGTGCATGAAACTCTATTATTAACAGTGCTGTAAATCACGAAGTTGCCTCAATAACCATGAGGGAAAAAAATAGAGATCTTAGAAAAACATCTCAGATGAGTTATTGTTGTGGTGTAAAGAAGTGGGGGTTAAAGTTAAAAGCATCTACTTTTAAAGTTGCAGCCCACCTGTCCGAATTATTCGTGAAATCTTTGGCTGCTAGTACAACGGACACAGATGGTAAATATGAAATGGAAAGAAAATTGAGGTAAGTTGGGTTATATGCCAATTATCAATAAGCTCACAAAGACTGAGAAATGAAGAAATGTTGGTTTCCTAACTCTGGGGAGCCACGTTAGTGAATCCACAGTCTTTCAAGTCCCACATTGCAATCAATTTATCATACACTTTTTTTTACGTTTGCAAGCCAACAGCACTGCCCAGTTACAAACTTGTTTTTCTTTCCTTTACCATAGGTGCTTAATATCCGAAAAGAAATGGCAAGAAAAGATCAATAAAACGAGGTAATTCTATCCTGTAGTGTATGTAAACATGGAGAGGCCCTGGAGTCAGTCTTGAATGGGGTGAAAGGTTCTGGCAACTGTTATTTGATCTATGCTTCTCCCAAGTATCCATTCAGTGTTTGTGTGATGACATCATTATTTCTGGAGAAAGCTCTTGTGACCATTTAACTATTGTACTATTGCACACTTTAGTACAACTCCATATCAGACTGACTCCCAGCGTGAATATCAGTCTTCATAAAAACATCAGGGTTACCTTGTAGAATGCGTCAGGAAAATGGTGATATAAGACTTTAGGTCTCATGAGTCATCCATATATATATATATATATATATATATGGTCAAACTAGAAGGTAAGTACTGTTATATAGTAGATCCTTGATATGGTTTTCAAGAAATTGATAACATGGTTTGCCTAGGGAAAAGAAGAGGGCTAAAGAATGAGGGGCTATGGGAAAATTCCTTCAGTACTTTTAAATTTATGTACATGTGTATGCATTAAGCTGGAGCAATAGCACAGTGGGTAAGGCGTTTGCCTTGCATACGGCTGACCTGGTCAGCCCAGGTTCTATTCCTCCGCTCCTCTTGGAGAGCCCGGCAAGCTACCCATGACGTATTCAATATGCCAAACACAGTAACAACAAGTCTCACAATGAAGACGTTACTGGGCTCGCTCGAGCAAATCGATGAACAATGGGAGGACAGTGACAGTGGATGCATTGTTTTTTCACATTCATATTTTTTCAACTAACACTTTCCAGTTTTAACCTATATGTAGGTACTAGAAAGCCACTAAACGTTTTTGAAGATGAAATTATTGGTTTGTTTGTTTGATTTGCCTTTCATAGAAACAGAAGTGTTGGCAACACACAAAATGGACTGGGGAGAGGGTTAAGTTAGGAAAAAGTGTCAAGGAAATGAAAGGTGGCCAACAAATTAAGAGCCTGTGAAAGAATCTCAAGGGGGAATGAGAAGAGGAATTTGGACTTATTGGTTGGAATTTTCATTGATTTATTTTGTGAGAAGTTTTAAAGGTGTGGTAGGCTATGGCCACAGTGTCTGTGATTGATGAGTAAGGTGGAAGATAAGATGTTTCCGTGGTAAATTAAAGTTGTCTAAATCAGATGTTTGTCTTCATTCAGTCAGTTTTTAATTCTTTTTCTTATGAAGTTGCTTAGGAAATTGCAGTAGTATTAAAATAAATAGTATTGCTATATAAACTTACCTCCCCACCACCAACATGCCCAAAACCCTCCATCACTATCTTTATGTCTTTTCTAGCCTGGGCTTTTTCCTTCTTTCTGTTTGGCGACTGGTTTTGTATTCCAATGTCAAGGGTTTTCATTGTTCATTACTGTCTATGTTTTCTATTTTGACTTTCTGAGTCAACAGCTGACTGAGGATGTTCTGTTTGTCCTTTTTCCCTTGACTTACTTCACTTACCATGACACCCTCCAGTTCCATCCATGCTGCAGCAAACTGTGTGAATTCATCTTTTCATACAGCTATGCAATATATATCTCACAATTTCTTTATCCATTCATCTGTAGTTGGGCATTTAATTTGTTTTTATAGCTTGGCTATTATACTAAGCTCTGCAATTAACATGGGTTAGCATGACATCTAGTGTAAGAGAAAGCGCACTAGTCTTAAAACCAGCATACCTAGAAATCACTTCAATTTTATACATCACAGACTTATCTTGCTGGCTGATTGTTTCACTTTAATCAAATTTGCTTCTGGAATTCAGTATGCTTCTCTGTGAAATGAGGATGGTAGAGTTCCAATGATGTCATGTCTCTTTCCGTTCTCATGTTGGGTTACTAACAGCTGACTGACACATGCACATATATCATGAGTTTGAAGGCAGACAACTTGGGTTCTAATTTAAACTTCGCCTCTTAGAGGGATAGACATAGAAAGATTGCATTCATCTGGGGGATATAAAGTAACAAAATAGGAGATTAATAGCCAAGAATAGCTGAGATCAGCACCAGGAGGATTACTCCATAGCTTAGTGGCCAGCCGGGCATTCTAGAGGAAAGGGCAGCTCAGATAGAGAAGGGAACACCAAATAAAGGGTGTTTGGAGGATCCTCCCAGGAGGGGAGATGCATGTCGAAAGTGGACTATGGACTGAACATGATTGCCACTCAATGCCTCTTTTGCAGACCACAACACCCAAAAGGAGAGAGAGAACACAGGGGATTGCCCTGCCACAGAGGCGGGGGGGATGGGAGGGGAGGGATATTATCCATGGTGGTGGAAAATGGGCACTGGTGGAGGGATGGGTATCTGATCATTGTATAATTGAAACCCAAGCACAAAAAATTGTAAATCTACAACTGTACCTCATGGTGTTTCACTAATAAAAAAAATAAAATAAATTAAAGGCTGTCATGGGAAAAAAAAAAACTTCACCTCTTAGTAGTTGTGTGACCCTAGAATAGGTTGCCTAACTTCTCTATGCCTTGATTACTATTTATTTATTTTTGTCAAGGATAATAAAGTCTTGGAAAAATCCCTAGAACACAAGAAGCACTTAAAATTGTAAACCTTTGAGGCAGAGATAGTATGGCAGGTAAAGCAATTGCCTTGTACAACCAATCGGGTTCAATTTCCAGGACTGACTATGGTGCTCTGAGTGTCACCAGGATTGATCCCTGAACATCCAGGAGTACATCTTGAACACTACTGGGCTCTTGACTCTTTTTGCCACTGCTTTTGTGGCCCAAAAGACGAAAGAAAGAAAAAACATTTTCAGAATGATGGGTTTACATTTAACAGGCAATCCCCAAGTCAGTACTTTCACAAAATGTTTATTTTTCCTAATGGAACAGAAGCCAGAAGTAGAAAGTCTGTGATAGGCCGTTTCATTGGAAACCCAGATCACTCCTTTTTATGTGTGACATTGTGTAGAAAATTAATGACGGGGCTGGAGCAATAGCACAGCGGGTAGGACGTTTGCCTTGCGTGGTCTACGCGGGTTCAATTCCCAGCATCCCATATGGTCCCCTGAGCACTGCCAGGAGTGATTTCTGAGAGGATGAGCCAGGAATAACTCCTGTGCATCGCCAGGTGTGACCCAAAAAGAAAAAAGAAATGACTGCTGCAGTTCCAGGCATTGATATATATTTAAGGAAGCTGAAAAAAAAAAGCAAGGGCAAAGGGAGAGCTTGCCAGTTGAGTTGTTGCTATTTGAAAGGCCTCCCAAAGACTTCAGTTCACATCCCACTGGTTACCTCTCTCTACAGGAATTATTGGAAAGATAGGTTTAAGCAGGTTTATTTTCCCCTAGTCCAGGGGAGTCACATAATAACTTTCATTTTATAAACACATAGTTCATGAACCATTCCTCAAGTTTTCATTTTTTGTTTCTGTTTTTGTTTCCATTGCTGCATAAATTATGGAAATCAGTAGCATTTAGCATTTAGCGCTTTCACCTTTCAACATCAGAAAAATGAAGACCTGAAAAAAGATTAATCTTGACTGAAGAAGAAAAGACTGATTGTCAATCTTTTCAAGTCAACCGTAAAACCAAACACATATTTGCGAACATTATTTCTGTCTTATGTGACAGTGATTTCCAATATAGGAAATGTAATTGTTTCTACAAGCAGCAACTAAGGAACCAAAACAAGTAAAAACGAAAAATACGATGAGTCCATTGTTATTAGTTTTAGTGTCAGACCCCCTTTTCCATGGGATTTAGAGCTTTAAGCAAATAATAGTTTTGTTTTAAAATTCTATGTCTTCTTTTGCAACATTATGGACATACCAACCAGGAAGGAAATTGAGAAAACAAAAAAATATATCGTGGAAATTAGAAACAAAATGACATCACCCTACTTTACTTCTGAATTTCAGTCCCAGGTAATTGAACATAAGTACCAATAACTAACATAAATGGTTAACATAATCAATAACAATTACATGAGTCTATGCTGCTGTGTAATCTAATTTATCTAAAAATTTTGGCTTTTTCCTGCATCAAAGTAATTGACTAGTCTGTACCTTTCAAACTCATGCCCTCACAAGTATACTATAGAAAAGATTAGTTTAAGGTTTTCTATTTAAGAAGTTGTCTGCCGGTGTGTTCTGATTATTTCCTTCTTGCCCGTATTCTCACTACTAATCACACTCTCCGGTCAATTTTAATTGGAAGTAAAATTCTCCTTATTGATAAACTTATCTTCTGATAAACCCTATTTTGGGGTTTTTATTCCTTTAAAATTACCTTATACATTAGCTGCAATAATTCTAAGATATGGGGAGCTCTTTGGAGCTCAAAGCAGAACAAACATTTTCATATGTTCAGAACTGTCTGCTTGTCTATGAAAATTAGAGGCTGCCTGGAAGCCAATAATGAGAAATTAATCATATTAACAAAACTAGGATTGAGTTATTACTGTCACAAATACATTTTTTTCTTCCAAACTCTATTTTCATAGCCTTGGGGGAAAATGTGTTTTTGCAACCGTTTTCAGCCCTTGGTCAATTGTCTTTCAGCCATGTGTAGGGTCATAAGTCTAAACTTCTTTCTCTATTTTTCTTTAAGTTTCGTTATCTGGACACTCTTTCCAAAAATTTGCCTCCTATTCCCAAAAAAGAGAAAGACACAAGAAAGTCATGTCCTCAAGATGTACCTGATATATATCCAGGTAATGTATTCTTTTCTTTTCTTTTTCTTTTTCTGTTTTGATGCCTCACCCAGCAATACTCATAGGTTACTCCTGACTTTGCACTCAGGAATTACTCCTGGCAGGACTTGGGGGATCAAATGGGATTCTGGGGAGCAAGCCCAGGTTAGCTGCATGCAAGGCAAGCACCCTCCCTGCTGTACTGTCCCTTCAGTGCTAAACAGGTCATGTATTTTTAAAATCCCTGCTTAGCTGGAGAACTGAGGACAAGAGTTTCCTTGAGCATAATTTGTTCCTACTACCTTTTGTCTCAGCGATTGCTTGCTAATGACATAATCTATGATCATTTGCTCAACAACTTAATCTACTGTGATCAGTAGATTACATACCTGAAGTATATGAGGAAACCAAACTATAAATAACTGTCATGTTAATTCTGTGTTCTTAATATTTACCTATAAACATACACAAGACTTAACTAAAATATCAAGAGAGTGAAGAGGACAGGAAATGCATGTGAGAGTCCTGAGTCTAATTCTCAGCCCCAAGCGCTTCCCTGGGTACCTCTAGGTATGACTTTTGTTTTTCAAAAAATTTGTTTTTAAAATAATGATAATAAAAGCTTACTTTAGAATAGGGTATTCACATAGTCTTGACATTTCAACCCACTTACTACTTATTAATTACTAAAACCAATTTACTAAGGAGTGATACATTATTTGTCACCTTAAGTGAGTGCTGAAACTTCTACCCTTGCCAGACAATCTAGCTTGGGTGTTTTCTCATATATTTAAATATGATGCAGTCTGTAGAGTGGACAGAATTTTGCCAAAAACTTTTAGTGTGAATCTAATCAAGAGAAAAACAGACTGATATATAATGTACACACTGTGTAAGAAAACTTATTTGAGCTCAAAAAAGGTCAATGTCATGAAAAGATGTTGTGCTTTTGTAGGTTAAAATAAAGAGAAATTAAAAGTACGTTCATTGCAGTAATTTTTGATGCTGTGCCAGAGGGTGGGATGGGACACAATCCCCAATCCACATTCCAGATTGGTCTGGAACAATCGCACCAGTTCCATTAGGAAGGAGCCAGCCCTTGAGGAGCTTTATGGGATTACTCTAAATTTTCTTTGGTGTTGATGATATTGTGGGCATGTTGAAGAATGCCTTCATTTCAAAAAACGTATTCCAAAGAACGCAGAATTCTAAATGCTTCTTTTCAATAAATTGGGTGGTTAAAATATCAAAGATCCAGGCATTTCCCATCCTGCCCGACAGTACTAGGCATCCCGCTGCCTAGAACACACGCAGCCCAAGTAGGAGCAATAGCACCAAAACCTTCAAAGAAACAAGCACAAATCCAATTCTCCTATTAGCAAAGTGTTCAAAGTTTAAGGCTGGAGTAATGAAGGACCTCTCAATATGAGGGGGGCAAAATTAGGGATGAAGGCTCAGTTGTGCAGCTAGCCAAATGTCCTGCACCCAGGAAGGCCAATAGCAGCAAGTAAGGCAACACTTCTCTTGAAAGGAGCTGGTGCCAGGGAAATGTTTTCAGAACCGTAATCCAGGCAGGCAGCTCAGTCAACAGGGTTTGGCCAACAAGTGGTTAGTGCATCTGCATCCCCGACTTGACGCACCCCTTACAGGGTGTTCTCTGTCTAACTAATGAGAGTGGGGAAAGTCGTGGTGAGACATGTACAGTAGTGAAGGGACAGGGGTTGAAACCTTGTATGACTGAAACCTAATCGTGGCTAATGTTGTAACTGTGTATCTCGTGGTGATTCAATTAAAACATATTTTTAAAAATAAAGAGGGTTAGGGTTGGGTAGGCTGAGTGGGGGGAAAGCCCATTGAAATTTTATTAAAGAGAAGCAGACAAGCTGCTAGTCATCATTGCACCAGTGTCCAAAATATCATTTTATAATATTTGTTTGGGGTTTCTTTTAGGTCATGGTACATATAAATATCCAAGCAGGAGATCATCAAATATTTCTGCTTCTCGAAAATCGGTGAGTTTTATGGATATCAAGGAGACCACGATCCAGGACCACTGTGACAATGTTTCAATATCTACTGAAGGTGGGACAATCATTTACTTTATCTGTCTCATTGCTTCCTCCAATGGAACAAGATGTCTTTTGGAAGTCTGGGAGATGGCACTTGGGGCCTGAAGTTACAGTTGGTTATGAAAAAACTTCTCGAGAGTCACAGATCCTGGACCTATGAAACTTCATAAGGTTTCTTAGTTTATCAAAGTGTCTAAAGACACTATATATGTATTGGCTTCCTTCCCTGGGCTCCGTGGCGAGGGTCGTGTGAGACGCGATTCCGGTGAAATGTTTTGTTGGGGAGTTACTTGCATTTTGGACCTCCATGTTGCTTTCACACAGAAATTCAGTTCATCCTGTAGTCTTTGCCACACAGAGGGAACCTGCCTGGCCTGCCACGTGGATGGTCTTCCATCCCAGCCGGTGCAGAGACTGAGACAGACAAAAAAGGTGCCTAAAGTTTTGGGGGGCCACACTCGGCAATATACAGGGGTTACTTCTGGCTTTGCACTCAAGAATTACTCCTGGTTGTACCTAGGGGACCATATGGGATGCTGGGAATCGAACCTGGGTTGGCCAGGTGCAAGGCAAATTCCCTACCCACTGTGCTATCTCTCTAGCGCCAGAAGGTGGAGCTTCTAAAAAGATTGTTTGAAATGACACATTTTTACCCCCAGCCACACCAAGCAGTGCTCAGGGCTTACTCCTGCCTCTGTGCTCAGGAATTACTCCTGGAAGTGCTTGAGGGTTAGGGATTAAATCCAGGTTCGCCGCATGTAAGACAAATAATGCCCACTATTGTCTTGTTTGGGCTGGAGCTATAGCACAGCGGGTAGGGTGTTTGCCTTGCACACAGCCAACATGACCGACCCGAGTTCTATTCCTCCTCCCCTCTCAGAGACCCGGCAAACTACTGAAAGAATCTCGCCCGCACAGCAAAGCCTGACAAGCTCCCCGTGACGTATTTGATATGCCAAACACAGTAACAATTGTCACAATGGAGACGTTACTGGGCCCGCTCGAGCAAATCGATTGAACAACGGGAGGACAGTGACAGTCACAGTGACTGTCTTGTTTGTCTCAGCTTCTCTCTGCTTCCATGGGTTCAGCTCTGTGACAGTCTCAAATCCCCACTTACCCTGCTTCGTGTTGGTCTCCTCCCTCTGCTGGTACCCAGAAGAGGACTTGCTTTCCATTCCTGGGGAGGGCTGGCCGTCCGCTTCTCTGAGGGCTGCACGCTCGTTCTGGGTCAGCATGTCCCGTGTCTTCCCTTCCGCCTCCCCTGAGTTAGGCAAAGACCGTGGGGAAGTGGATAGATGGGGCCTCTCCTCTCATGTGTCCACGGTGGATGCTGGTTTGCCGCCGGGGCATGGAACTTCCCTGAAGCCTGTGAGATGATGCTAGAATCGGCCTGCCCTTCGTCCCACGTCCTTCCTGGTCTCTGTGCAGGTCACATGACCCTGTAAGAGTGTCCTCTGCTCCTTGTCATCAGCATTCACCCCCTGCAGAAAACTTTGTGTGTGTGTGTATGTGTGTGCTTATGTAGGTGTGTGAGTGTGTGTGTGTGTGAGTGTGTGTGTGTGTGTGTGTGTGTGTGTGTGTGTGTGTGTGTATGGACTGGAGCACTAGCACAGCAGTAGGGCGTTTGCCTTGCGGGCAGCCAGCCCGGCCAAGCCGGGTTCGATTCTTCCGCCCCTCTCAGAGAGCCTGGCAAGCTCCCCGTGATGTATTCAATATGCCATATACAGTAACAACAAGTCTCAGAATGGAGACGTTACTGGGCCTGCACGAGCAAATCGATGAACAATGGGAGGACAATGACAGTGATATATGTGTGTGTGAATATATATATATGTGTGTGTGTGTGTGTGAATTATATATACATAATATGATATATGTACATATATATATAATATGTTTATTTGTAGACCACATGTGGCTGAATGTGCTCAGAACTTACTCTTGACTCTTTACTCAGGAAGTCACTCCTGGCAGTTCTTGGGGGACTGTATGCTGTGCTGGGGTTCCAACCTGTGTTGGCTGCATTCAAGACAAGTGCATTACATACTATTTTATCTTTCTGGCCCCCTCAAAAAAATAGTTTGAGAATGACTACAACTTCTAGACTGAGGGAAAGAATTGGCAGATACATGGTTTTAACATTTATTATTTCATTTTTATTTTGCTGACCGCCAACCCAAAGCAACCCATTACTTTACTCATAAACTGGGTTTATTCAGAAACAATAACAAAAAGGCAGTTTGGAAAGTGCAGTGTCATAGCCTAACACGGGGGCAGCCATGCCCTTCAGGACAGAAGTCAACACCATCCTTCTACTGATTTTAGCGGGGTCCTTTCTAGGGAAAGAGGAGTCCTCTTTCTCTTCTTCTGGGGCAGGAAAGGAAGCATAACATGTAGTCCTGTCACAGACACCAGGCCTGCAGAAGCCCTGCAGCAGACACAAATGTGAGAGCTCACCTCTAGCCTTCCAGCCTCCTTAAAATAAAGTTTCTGTCTTCTGCCCCCATGCCTGGCTGTCCTCGCCGGGGCCCCTTGGAGGGGAGCGGGTTGAGTTTCCCTCCCCGCCCTGACCAGGGCACCGGCAGCCGAAGACCTCCAGAACCAGCCACCACCATGCTGAGACCACTCTCCACATGCATGAAGGTACCAGCAGAGGAACAAAGGCATGCGGGTCCCGGGGCTGAGATCTCCAAGCTAAAACAATTCAGGGAGCTCAGGAAAACACCCGATTTTGTTTTTTCCAAGGTTATTACTTGCTCTTACTAGCTCCTTTACCAAACCTAGGCTTCTGAGGATTTAATTCCCTAGCTAAATTGATCTTACCACTTTTTAGAGTTAAAAAAGATATAGTAGTTGGGCCAAAGAAATTCTATTTTGCTTTTGTTTTGTTTGGGGGTAGCATCCAGTGGTGCTCAGAACTCACTCCCGGCTTTGTGCTCAGGGACTCCTCATTCCTGGCTAGGCTTGAACCTGATTGTCTGCGGCAGAATGCAAGGCAAGCACCTACCCTCTGTGCTATCACTCCAGTCCCAAGTCAAAGAAATTCTTAACTGTTGCCCTCACAGTTTTGAGCAGTCTTTCAAGACTGGGGATGTGTGGTGGTAGAGTGCATGCATATGAGGCCCAAAGTTTGACTCCCTGCAGCTCAAAAGGAAGGAACAAAGGGAGGTAGAGCAGACAGGCAGGCAGGCAGGCAGGGAGGCAGGCAGGAAGGCAGGAAGGCAGGAAGGAAGGCAGGAAGGAAGGAAGGAAGGAAGGCAGGAAGGAAGGAAGGCAGGAAGGAAGGAAGGCAGAAAGGCAGGCAGGCAGGCAGGCAGGCAGGCAGGCAGGAAGGCAGGAAGGAAGGCAGGAAGGAAGGAAGGCAGGAAGGCAGGCAGGCAGGCAGGCAGGCAGGCAGGCAGGAAGGAAGGAAGGAAGGAAGGAAGGAAGGAAGGAAGTTTTCAGAATGGATTATTCTTTGTTAATAAGTGTCTTGCTGATTTAATGGAAGGAACCCTGGCAACATAAGTTCAGTTCTTCATAGGTTAACATCTTCAAATCTGATTTTTCTATATATTTTTTAAAGGTAATGCTCTGCACATCTCCTAAGTTTGCTGTGTGACCCAATATTATGTAAAATCTCTTTGCAAAATGCAATGATAATAAGCTTGACTTAATAAAAAGTCTTTATTCTTTTTCAAAAATTTTCTCTTTAAAATGGAAAGAAAAAAAAAATCCTCAGGATGATATGTGTTTTTCTGGACTATGGTATCATCTTAAGTGTCTGTGAATAGAATGTTTGTTTGTCATAATCTGAATTTTCTGGCAGACTCAGAATCTTTCGAGCCTGTCAAAATCCCAACCCAGTCGCTGCTGGCAGATGTCACAGGCGAAGTCCGGAAAGAGAGAGTGAAGTTGCCTCTCTACCTGGAGAGTTCCAAACCCAAGTCTCAACCTCTTGCAAAGGTATAATGGGCTTAAAAACAGTTTTACCAGATCCAGTCAGTATCTTGGACTATTCTGACTCATTGATATTATTGATTTCCAGCTACAGTGCATGTTATTTGACAGCAGCCCAGAAAATTATAATGCCTCATCAGTGGGTTTACAAATACCAAAACACCAGCAAGGAGGACTCAATCATGAGCATATTCTGACTCATGATGGCACAGGGTTTATTCTTGTATGTTCAGTTGCAGTCAGCCAGGAAATGCAATTTGTACCACCAGTAGGGTGGTCAGGGTTTATGTACAGGAGAAAAACAACTGCACAAGCAAGAGAGGAAGGGTAAACAGAATGGTGGATGCACATCCTTGATAAGTCCTATAGAAACTGGCTGAGCACCTATAATGACCAAAAAGAATTGTGCAGCAAACAGTATATCCTGGGCTGCTCTCAGACGTGTACTTTCGTTTACTATCTCTGTTATCTCATCATGAAGTTGAGATGGAGAACCTGGCAGTGCTCAGGGGACCATATGGGATGCCAGGAACTGAACCAGGGTCAGCCATGCACAAGGCAAGCGCCCTACCTGCTCTACTACTGTTTTCGCATAGGAACACTTTGCTTTGAAATCTTAACACTTAGCACTTGAACAAATGATCTCTGTCTTTCCCATCTCTGAACTTGCACTTAGCCTCAAGACAAAACGTGAAAGACTTCCTTACTATCCTGTGGCAAGGATTGACCAAGGCTATTTAGAATCATATCTTCAAGCCCAGGAATTGTCTCCTCTAGCAACAGGGACTTTTTCTGATTTTTGGAATGCAAAAAGGAACAATTTCATTTTTCTTTATTTTTCTCTCCTGAATGCACAGGTAGAAGATTCTGTTGGAGGAAGAATAAAAACATCCTCTGTCATCTTGGCTACTGCTAAAAACACGAGTGCTCCCATGTTTGGATTCCACCTTCTCCCATCATCAGTGAAGCTGGGGGAAATCGAAGAAGGATACACTTATGTGACCATTGTTAAGCTCAAGAATGTTGGCGTCGACTTCTGCAGGTGAGGCCAATTCGTCTGTTTGTCTACATCAGTGAATGTCTCTTGAGCTGGCCCTGGACTGGCTTTTGCATCTGGAATCTTCACATCCTTCATTCTCATTTCCTCACTGATCTTCATCCTTTCATCCATTCGACATGAGTTGTTAGTGACCAATGGTCTCAACTCCAGCAGTTCCACTTTATTACACTTCCACCAATCATTATTCCATCTTTGTTAGGACCAGTTTAAAGTCTGAACTGAAGTAAATCAACAATAACAGTAACTCATTTGTTTGAACTTCTTGAGTTAAAAGTGAGTTAATGGTCTAGGAAGACCCCTCATGGGGCCAAAGGGCATTCTTCGTACGCTTTGGTCTTGGCACCATAGAATTTCCAGCACTTCAAGAAGAATCCCACCACCCCCAGCACTGACACAGGAGTGTCATTTGGGATGCTGAGGATCGAATCTGAATCCAAGTTGGCCCTCAGGAGCAGCTCACTAGCGCCTGCTGTGCCAAACCCAAAAGACGATTTCATTCCATTATTTATGTGTAATTGAAGGACAAAGGAGAAATCTAACCTGACTCATTAGGGTCATTTCGACTCAAAGGTCTACTGGGAATTAATAATAAATTCCTGGGCGGGAGCGATAGCACAGCGGGTAGGGCATTCGCCTTACAAGCGGCCAACATGGCCGACCCGAGTTCGATTCCTCCGCCCCTCTCGGAGAGCCAGGCAAGCTACCGAGAGTATTCGATATGCCAGACACAGTAACAACAAAGTCTCCAATGGAGACGTTACTGGGCCCGCTCGAGCAAATCGACGATCAACGGGAGGGCCTTTACCTTTACCTTTAGTATAAAATACACTTTGACTTGGGCCAGAGAAATAGCTCAACAAGACTGAGTGCACTGAGTGCATACAGGAGGCCCAGATTCCATCCCCAGCACCATACTGAGCACTGAGTGAAGAGTAACTCCTGAGAATCACCTTTTATTTATTAAATCTATAAATCTATCCGCAACGGATAGATTTGAGAACTATAGCTAACATCCACCGGTAAGAAAAAAAGTCAGTGCTTCATTTTCAGGTCAAAATAAAGTTTCAGAGCTTAGGAAGCCTGTCTGGTTTTTTTTTTTTTATTTGTTTTGGGACTGCACACACCTGTGTTCAAGGCTTACTCCTAGCTCTGTGCTCAGGGATCACTCCAGATGGAGCTTGATGGTTGGGGATGGCAGGGTATATATGTGGTGCCAGAGATTGAATCAGGTCAGCCATGTGTAAGGCAAGATCCCTACCACCTGTATGTTCACTCCAGCCCCAAAAGCTTGCAGAGATTTGAGAGATTGATTGTCACAAAACACAAACTGAGCAACTTGTTTGGAGGTCTTCTAGGCCAGAGCATGGCTAGGACTTATGGCTCAGATCTCCTGGGCATCAGTTCACTGTGGCCACAGCACTTGGTGTCACAGTACAAATACTCCGTACAAGAGATCAGACTTTCCCAAATGATCAGTTACAACAACTATCTGTACCAAGAAAGCTCCCAGTTACAAAATTACCTCTGTTCTACAAATTTGAATTAAACTTAAGCATGATATGGTGTGTGTGTGTGTGTGTGTGTGTGTGTGTGTGTGTCTGTGTCTGTGTGTGTGTTGGGGGTGGAGGAGGTTCTTTCCCTATAAAAATGGAATAAATGTTCATTTCTACCGCAGAGTTAATACTCAGTCTAAGAACCATTCTAGTTTCATGATCAGATAACAACAGCGGGATCAGAATTGAAGATCACTGTCCAGTGGTTTGCTTTTTGCTTTGTTTTGGTTTTGGTTTGTTTGTTTATTTATTTTTGCTTTTTGGGTCACACCCGGGGATGCTCAGGGGCCACTCCTGGCTTTGCACTCAGGAATTACTCCTGGCAGTACGCGGGGGACCGTTTGGGATGCTGGGGATTGAACCTGAATCCAAGTTGGCCCTTTGCAAGGCAAACGCTTGTCCCGCTGTACTGTCACTCCGCGCCCAATCACTGTTCAGCTTTAAGTGAAGCAAATCCCCGGGTTAGGCATCCTGCTTGCTTCATCAAACGCAACGGGTAGATTTGAGAACCCTGTCTGGTGCAGAGAGAGAGACAGAGGCAAATAAAGCGAAGAAATAGGAGTTTATTATAAAGTGGAGAATAGAGAGGTGCCCTCCCAGGCGGAATCCCACCCCATCTTCCACCACCCCAGTCCCCGATGAGGCTGGGGTCGAGTTGCACCCCAGGAAAGACTAAGGGGGCTTTTTGAGTTGTCTTGGGCATAAAAAAGGAACAAGCACCAGTGGAGCCAGTGCGCTCACTCTGGCCCTCTGCCATCCGTAAGGGGTGGATGCGGGGAAACAGGCAATGCCGCCTGGCAGCCTCCAGGAGCCAGGGGGGGCCTCCAGTCTGCGCTGGGGGCAGGATGATCTTGGATGCTGGGAATGCTGTAATGTCATCAGCCTGCTGCCTATCATCACGACAATCTATCGAGGGCCCTAAGCCACCAGTTTCCATATGATTGTTCTTTCGGCCAGTGGAATGAGTGGGAAGAACTAGCCAACCTCAGACAAGAGACTCCTGAGATTCTCTGTGAAGAGGCTGTCCTTCAGTTTTGGAGGCTTCATCCTTCACCTTGGGAGCTTCAGCCCCTCTGAGGCAGCTAGTAAAGACGGTGTGGATGGGGTGGGGAGGGGCTGGGGCGCAGGTGGAGACAGGCTTTCCTTGGGCATTTTAATCTACTCCAGGTTGTTAAAATCAGGTAGAACCCGCAGGCGACTACAGGATGAGAAGATCAATAGCACCATGTATTTTCTTTTCGAGTCCTTCAACATTTTCTCAGTCTTGGACTGGAGCGTTAGCACATCGGGTAGAGTGTTTGCTTTGTACACGCCTATCCGGGTTTGATTCCCAGCATCCCATATGTCCTCCGAGCACCTCCAGGAGTGATTCCTGAGGGCATGAGCCAGGAGTAACCCCTGTGCATCACGGATATGAACCAAAAAAAATTTTTTTTTTCGCAGTCTTTTCTGTTTCTTTTCTCTCTGAACGTGTAAATCCATCCTGGGAGAGAGCAAGACCCAGCTCCCACACACCCTTGATTTCCAAAGGAGCCTTTACCCTGGCAGCCAGTGTGTGAGTTGAGTGTGGTGCTGCAGGGCGCACACCAGCCAACACCCCCAACTCTGCTGCGCCCGCTGCTTCTAAGGCATCAGCAGGTTGAGACGAGACGGTCTGCTTCAGGAGTCTGTGTTGCCACTGAAAACTGTCAGAAAGGCTGGTGGGGCCTGAATTCTCCTCGCAATTAAATAATGGGTGGTTGGGGGCACTCCCTGGGTAGAGAATATTAACACCTCCCTGGGTTATAACATTCCAACTCATCTCTTGCTCATGGGGTTTTTGTTTGGTTGATTGTTTATTATTGTGAACACTTACGTATTTCTGTCTTTCTGTCTGACAGGTTTAAGGTGAAACAGCCCCCACCCAGTACTGGACTGAGAGTGACTTACAAACCTGGACCTGTGAGTCCTTTTGCTGGTGTGTGTGTGCTGGTGTGTGTGTGTGTGTGTGTGTGTTTGGGGGTAGCGGGAGGGGGTCGGGAGAGATGTGGCCTCGTAAGTCGTATTGCCCATTCAGCTGAAACTATGTCTGTAAGCAAAGGAGTCTTGGTCTTAGTACAAGATGTGGCTTGACGTCACTGACTTCATGTAATAGCCATAAAATAAATTCTATATGTAAATAGAGTTATATTTCACCTCACTTGTCCCCGTACTACAGTTATGCGCAGGTATATGAAAAATATCCTTTAAAAATTATATGTGATTTAACATGCACTTGGAAAATATATTATCAGAAAGGAGAGCCTGCACCACAAATCCTTCTGTAAAATGAAAAATATCTTTGAAAATCAAGTAATTATTCCTTTTTTTTATTTTGTGTAATGTTCGGTTCTCTTGATATCTGCCAGAGAATATTATTTAATGACAGACTTAAAAATAAGCAGTATAATAAATTCACCAGCTGCCTCATTTCACCAAAGGTCTCTGAAAACACATTTTTAAAATGTTCTTACTTTATTTGATAGATGGGACTTTTATAAAATATGTGTATCACCACATATTTTAAATGATAATTTAAAGAATTGTAGTACAATAAAAATAAAAGTCGTCTCTTAATGTCATTATGAGACACGATATTATTCTTGTAAATCTTAACATTTGTTTCTTGGTAAGTAAGCTTTAACATTCTTTTCCTTTCACTCAACAAACTTTGAGTTCCTTTCATATGCCACTAATTACTGACAGTGCAAGGGTCCAATCATATATTTTTTTTTAAATTGAGTTAGCGGCCAAAGAGATTGCTTAAGTAGCAGAGCACAGGCCTGGAATGCATGAGGTCCAAAGTTCGACCCTCAACCCTGCTGGTCCCCAACCACTCCCAGGGATGGTCCAAGGGAGCAAAGCTCAGGGGAATCCTGTCCTATCCTCAGCACGAGCGTCTGAGTCCTGAGATGTTAGAACAGCCGCAGTTCTACTCTGACGGAGAGGGAGCAGTTTGGGCAATGCAAGCCCGGCTGACTTCCTGACCCAGCTCCACCCTCAGGCAGTTCCCCCAGGTTATTGGTGCATTGCAACTCGACACTTTGTTCCCTGCTCTGTACTGGTGAAACTTAGATGGACTTGTTTCTTAGCCCTCTTCCAGCTTTTACTGTCCTCCCATCTATTAAGCAAGCTACCCGTGACGTATTCGATATGCCAAACACAGTAACAACAAGTCTCATGATGGAGACATTACTGGGCCCACTCGAGCAAATCGATGAACAATGGGAGGACCGTGACCGTGACCGTGACCGTGATCCGTCTATTAAGCAGTATGCAAGCCCCAGTTCCAGACAGAAGTACATTTTGGGATCAGATCCACTAACTCCTGTGCACCTCTCCGAAATGATCCATCATTGTACTGTGTCAGGTTTTCAGAATTCTCACTACTTAAAGCAGAACTGAAAAATTAGAGCAAGCTCTCCTTCCATTGTTCTGGGAAGTGAGTACATCACCCTCATTTAAAGTAGGAGTTATGCCAAAAGGCCAAATATCTGTTGGATCAATCTTTATAAGTACTAAAAACTCAGCATGTATTCTTTGAAGATCACTCTGAACTGTTAGTAGGATTTTTGTGTGTTTTTTTTTTCCTCTCCACCCCCAGGATTTTTTTTTTCCTTTTTGATGGTAGGTTTTGTTTCTGGAAAAAATATAATCTATAGACTTCTCCATATGTAAATCTAACCACTGTTCAGCTTGGTAATTTGCCAACATTAAATGAATATGCTCCAGCCTGAGTAACCTGTGTGATGGCAGGAGTCCAGCCCCCCCACCCCCGGTGCAAATGCCGTCATCCCCAGCCCTGCTCCAACCGTGGGACGGGGCCCACTTCTCAGAAGTGAAACTGCTGGACATCCTCCAGAGCACAGACCTTCCCAACCACATTGCTGGGGGGATGGGTGGGAGGGGGAAATAGAGTCATATTTCATTTCTATTATTTCTAGATTGAAGGAAAAAATTCCATTTGTCTTTAATTGCTTTCCATGTGGTAGGTTCTGATTTATTTTTTCCAGATAACTATTCTCCAGTCTGCTTTTTCACACACCTCCTGGAAAGACAGCTTAGAAATAAATAGTTGGGTTTTTTTTTTCCCCCTCCGGGTTAGTATTTTCTTCAAGGCCAGAAGTCCATTCTTGGTTGTGTTTCTTCTCATTAGATACTAGATTTCTTTGATGCTACAAACCTCCATGTAACTTTCAGAGAGCAGCTCTTCAATATTTAAACTAATTCTGTCTCCTCCTGGACTTGTCAAGCTCCAGTTCCTAAGTGAGGAATATTCGAAGCTAAATCAGGGAAGCTGCAGAAAATTCACCTGGTCTCTTTGAATGAATTTATGAGCCAATCAGGCAGTGGGCTGGGTGAGATCTCTGTATCAGATGGAAGGATGCATTTGCCCAGGAGTAGTGGGACCAAGATGACCCAAAGAGAATAATCTGAGAACCTCTCATGTAGAACAAACAATGCACCAAACTAAAGGATTCAGTAAGCACAGGCTCCGGCATGGGACCTGTCTGGGAAAACCCATTGGTGAACCCATTCATGATCTCTGGGAGATTTGCTGCTTTGGAATATAGAACTGCAAATGAATTTCAGAGTCACGGAGTGCTCCTCTGGGAAGAGGTTGGTGAAACCCAGATTGAAAGCTTGAAGCTTTGCATCCAGAAAGAGATACAGGAGCTGAGAAATCCATGTGGGTTTAAGACTCCACTCTTAAAAAAAAGTGAGCTGGAGGCAAACAGATCTACAGCTGGCAAGGTGTTCAGAGCCCTTTGAAAGCTCCCGATAAAATCTGCTTCAAACCTGTCAAGGCAGGAAGCGCCCGGAGGTCAAATCCTGCCATTTTGCCATCCCATAATGGAGCAACAAGGGATTGCCCCACATCTCCCTTCACTGGGTGAAATTAAACAAAATAAATAAATACACAAAGCTAAACTCAGTCTCCAGCTCCTCCCCCAACCCCTCTCACATCTGATTGTCAGCAGTAGAGTCAGACTATTATATAAACTACAAAAAACGGGGCCAGAGGCATGGTACAGTGGGCGAGGCTATCCCTGACACCCCCTAAGGTTCCCCCAAAGCCTGCCAGGAGTGATCCCTGAAAATATACCTGGAGTAAGCTCTGAGCACTGCTGGGTGTGGCCCCCAGAGCCAATAATTAAATAAATGGACTACAAAAAGCTGGCGGCAGACCTGTCTTGGAACATATGGTTGGGTTCCTGGTCAAACTCCACAGGAGGCATGAATTTAGCAACTCAGACTTTTAGGTGCTGGGAAACACGAATAACTAAAATACATACTAAGGCTGCTCGGGGCAATAGGTACCAGTACTCTTCTGACCGCAAGCCCCCTCTGTTGCTGCCCCATGAGCTTCAAACCTCATAGTCACCTTCAGGCAGCAGCTACTGTGACCTCTGGGACATAACACTTGCCTGTAGAGTCTTAGGGCTACAGATGATGCGATAAGCTCGAGACTGTAGATTCCCAACAACAGTGTAGGGCACCCAAGAAGCTTCATCTGGTGTCCAGTCACACCCAAATCTCAGCTGCAGGCACTCTACTCCATTTGGAGAGCTCAGTCATCTGGGTCTCACAAAGGCCAGCTTGGATCTTCAACTGCCCTTCCCATAGCACCAGGCATGATGAAGAAACAGAGGAATTCAGCCTCATTAATGGATGGGAACAAATGCCAGAAAGGTCTTAACCTTCCAGAACTTTCTAAGTTCCACAGGAAGGATGTTCATGGGTCCTTACTAAATTCAGTGAAATGAAGACACTTGTGAAATAGATCATCAGTAACTGCAGAGAAAGTATGAAAGTAAGTATACATATACCCCAAAGAGAGTTGAATGACCTAGAGCTAAGCAGTACAGTAGTTAAGTTAAAACATAACACACACACACACACACACACACACACACACACACACACACACACAGGTCTTGGCATTGTAATGGAAAAAGTCTAAATTTGAATCAGTGACTTCAAGTATAAGGAAGAGAATGTCATTCAAATGAAGAAAAATTAATAACGAAGACAAAATAAGATATTTATAGAACAGCATTAAGAGAGACAACATTCTCATCAAAGAGATTCCAGGAGAGAAGAGGTGAAAAAAATTATAATGCTAAGAACTTATTCAACCTGAAGAGGAAGCCCGTGTACCCTGATCCAGGAAACCCAAAAAGTTCCAAATAAGAGGCACCAAATGAAGGAGCAGAAAAATTCTTTAAGTAACTACTAAATGGGCCTAATAAAAACAATATTATTAGGAGAATTTTGGAACCCCCCTCTCATCATTTAAGGAAACAGAGACATAAATGAGGAATCAGAAGAACTGGGATTAATATGTAGAAGGGCCTCTACACCACAATCTTCTCGGTGGAATACACGTTCTTCTCTACTGCACGAGGAAAGATCACACATTGGTACACACAAAAAGAATTATAAGGAGAAATTATATCAAGTCTCTTTCAGGTCACAGTGCATGCTGTGAAGGTAGAAATTAAGCATTATAAAAAAGTTGGTGGCCAGAGCGATATTACAGTGGATAGGGTATTTCCCTTGCATGTGGCTGACCCCGGTTCAATCCCCAGCATTCCATATGGTCCCCTAAGCCAGCCAGAAGTAATTCCTGAGTGCAGAGCCAGGAATAAGCTCTTAGCACTGCCAGATATGTCCCTCTTTCCCTAGCCCCCAAAATAAGTTGGGTGGGGCTGGAGTGATAGCACAGTGGGTAGGGCATTTGCCTTGCACGCAGTTGACCCAGGTTCGATTCCCAGCATCCCATAAGGTCCCCGGGGCACCGCCAGGGGTAATTCCTGAGTGCATGAGCCAGGAGTAACCCCTGTGCATTGTCGGGTGTGACCCAAAAAGAAAAAAAAAAAGGCGCCTACACTAAATGTTCATTTCCGGGGCTGGAGTGA